ATCGGATCAAATATTGGAGTTTACCATGATGAAGTCAAGAATCCAAGATTTTATGGACTTCATACTCAATTTCTCCTTCAACCAGAACTGGATCTGGAGGATGTTGTTTTTCTCTTGGAAAAGGATCTGAGACATAGGGTTTTAGAAGAGACACGTGGAAAGCAGGATGGAGTTTTACAGAGGAAGGCAGAGTTAACTTGACAGCAACTTCATTGCACTTTTCTCTACAGGAAAAAGTCAAATGAACAAAGAACTAAGTTTTTTAGAAGGTCTGTTTGTTTTGATATTTTTTGTGGAAAGCCAGACTTTATCCCCAACTTTATATTCAGGAGGATATTTTTTGTTAGCAAATTTATTTTGATTTGAAGAAGAAAATTCAAGATTAGTTTTTAGAGTTTTGAACAAACTTGTCATTTATTCTATTTGAAAATTCACTGATGGATTTGTACTACAAATGAGATCAGTAGGAAAAGATGTTGGATGAAATCCATAATTGGAGAAAAAAAAGTAATCTTGGTGCTTGAATGTAAAGAGTTGTTATATGCGAATTCAGCCAAAGGGAACCATGATGACCAGTCATCTTGAAGATGAGTTCAGAAGCATCGAAGATATTGTTGTAGACATTGATTTGCTCGCTCAGTTTGCCAATTTGTATGAGAGTGATATGAAGAGGAAAATTGTTGGTGAATTGCAGCTTGTGTCAGAGAGTGAGCGCCTATTTCTGTTTTGTTGTATATTCAGTATAATATTACAGATGAACAATTTAGATAATTCAAGTGAAGAAGACATTTTTTAAATTGGAATAAAATGAGACCTTTTAGAAAACGATCCACAACCATAAGAATAGTGGTTTGTTGTTTTACATACTGGCAGGTCAACAATGAAATCCATAGAGATGAATTTCCATGGACAATCAGGAATGGGCAAGTTCATCAATAACCCATAATAATGATGGAGATCAGGTTTAGATCTTTGACAAATATGGCAGGAGGACACATAGGATGATACAGTATTGATTAATTTCAGCCACCAAAAATACCTGGTTGTTAGATCGATAGTTTTCTTTATTCCTAAGTGTCCAGCAAGTGGAAGGTCATTGACCATTTCTAATAATTCAGTTCTCAGAAAGGGAGGAATATACAACTTATCCCCTTTAAAATAAACTCCTTCTTGTTCAGTAAGATTAAAATTAATAGGAATTTGAAGTTCTTCTTTAGCAACTTTTATTTTATTTATGAATTGAGAGGTTATTCCAATAAACTTAGAGGGTGGTATGGTTGAAGTAGGTTTATTTGGATTATCATTATGAGGATGCATACGTGATAGAGAATCAGCCTTTTTATTCTTTGAGACAGGTCTGTAAACTATGTTAAAATTAAATCAGAACAGATTCCACCAGAGTTTTCGTGCTGATAATGATTTAGTGGTCTGTAGTAGACATGTGCATTAGTTTTCGTACAATACGATTTTTGTCCGAAAATTCAGGTTCTTTCGTATTCATTTACTAAAACATAAACAAAACCCCTACAAACGAAATATAAACAAAACGAAAGGGCAAATGCAGAATGCATAAACGTTTTGTTTTGTTTGTTTACTAGACTCCGTGGTGCAGGGGAATTAGTAATAGGAGGAGTTATAGGCAGAGGTTATATGGCGTTATAGGAGGAGTTATAGGGAGAGGTTATATGGAGTAAAAGGAGGAGTTATAGGGAGAGGTTATATGGAGTAATAGGAGGAGTTATAGAGAGAGGTTATATGGAGTAATAGGAGGAGTTATATGCAGAGGTTATATGGTGTAATAGGAGGAGTTATAGGGAGAGGTTATATAGAGTTATAAGCAGAGTTATAAGGAGAGGTTATTTGGAGTAATAGCGGGAGTTACAGAGTGAGGTTATATGGAGTAATAGGAGGAGTTATACAGAGGGGCTATATGTAGTAATAGGAGGAGTTATAGGGAGAGGTTATATGGAGTAATAGGAGGAGTTATAGAGAGAGGTTATATGGAGTAATAGGAGGTGTTATAGAGAGAGGTTATATGGAGTAATAGGAGGAGTTATAGGGAGAGGTTATATGGAGTAATAGGAGGAGTTATAGGGAGAGGTTATATGGAGTAATAGGAGGAGTTATAGGGAGAGGTTATATGGAGTAATAGGAGGAGTTATAGAGAGAGGGTATATGGAGTAATAGGAGGAGTTATAGAGAGAGGTTATATGGAGTAATAGGAGGAGTTATAGAGAGAGGTTATATGGAGTAATAGGAGGAGTTATAGAGAGAGGTTATATGGAGTAATAGGAGGAGTTATAGGGAGAGGTTATATGGAGTAATAGGACAAGCTATAGATAGAGGTTATATGGAGTAATAGGAGGAGTTATAGAGAGTGGTTATATGGAGTAATAGGAGGAGTTATAGGGAGAGGTTATATGGAGTAATAGGGGGAGTTATAGGGAGAGGTTATATGGAGTAATAGAAGGAGTTATAGAGAGGGGTTATATGGAGTAATAGGAGGAGTTATAGGGAGAGGTTATATGGAGTAATAGGAGGAGTTATAGGGAGAGGTTATATGGGGTAATAGAAGGAGTTATATAGAGGGGTTATATGGAGTAATAGGAGGAGTTATAGGGAGAGGTTATATGGAGTAATACTAGGAGTTATGATGTTTATGAAATGATAGAATAAGTTAAATATAAAAACAGGAAAGGTTACAGGAAGGTGTTATCGATGGAGAAATAGTTCAGTAAGTTACAGAGCTAGAATTTTTCAATTTGTCTTTTTAATAAATTCCTGCTGCTGCTCTTACAATGTTCCATTTCTCACTGTTTGGCTTTCTCACATAATACAGTGGTGCACAGCCCTGCCCTAATATCTTGGATTTATTTTGGAAAGAAAAACAGAAATTCCTGTATTATAGCTATAACTGAGGAAATGCTTTTGTAAGCAGCTCTAAGGCCATCCAAAACAGAACCTGCCCCTTCCAGCCACTAAGCATTACTGCATGTGGAACTTTTTTTTTCTGTGCTCTCAAAACACATTTATTTTCTTAAATATGGTGCAAATCTTTTTGTATTAATCTTGCACAGTAATTAAAACGAAATGCCCTATTTTAAATCTAGACAGATTCCAGATCATTATGAGAGATAATATTTAAATGTTTAATCTAAGTGACATGATAATTTCTGTTTAACACTTTCTGAGGCGGGGCAAGCCACCTAAAAGGTGGTTTTACCACTCTAGGGTCAGGAATACATGTCTGTGTTCCATTAAAGCTTCCTCCAAAAACATGTTAACTCCACAATCTAGGTACCCCTAGATAGTTCACGCCTTCTGTTACTGTCAGTCCAAATAGTGCCCTGATTATGGTGTTCAGTTGATACGCGGTTGCAGGTTTTACCATCTGCTGTTGAGTTCTGATCTGAAATACACTTCCATGTGGCCAGCTTGGACTACCTTGTCTTTCCCTGGTCTCTACCATGTTGCTATCATAAACAGATGGCTGGATCCTCGGAGCTCAGATAGGCTTTGCCTGATAGGTAAAGGGGGAAGGCCTTGTTTGTGCAAATAGCCTTGTTCAGGGTTTTCTGTAGCAATCAGTGTCCATACTATCCAAACAGGTGGAATCTAACATTGAGGTGAGACTACCCCTATAATAGATACCAAATAAAGAATTGATTTTTGTAGGGATCTACTACCCCTCTTGCAGAGTTGTACATGTAAGCAGTGTTTATGTGTTTGAATGTAAGCATGCTTGTGTATATGTACGAGTGTATTTGTATGTACTGTTACCATTTGAATGCAGGGGTGTGTTTGTATGTAATGTTGGCGTTTAAATGCAGGTGTGCATTTGTGTGTTGTGTTGGTGTTTGAATGCTGGGATGTTTGATTCTATAAACAGACACACACACATACTAACAGATACATATACACGCTGACATATATACAAAACCATACTAAACGTGATACACACATATATTGACACAGATACAAATGCACAATGACACACACAGATACATACATACTAACAAAGACACTGACAAATATACACTCTGATACATAGATACACACTCACACTAATACAAGCACACAAGTTATTTCCATTTTTGTTTGTTTTTTTATACACTCCCGCTTCCATACTTTTTGGTGCAGGAGGATGGCTTGCCTGGGGTCCAGTAGGACTGCTGGCTGAGGTTGATGGGAGTATGGGGCTACTGAGTGTCTGTTCCTCTTGGCGACTCTTCTCTCTCACCCTCCTATCTGTGTCCCCCCATCCATCCCCACGTCTCTCTCTCTGATAGCTGGGAGAAAGTTACCTGAATTCCCATATTCCCATCTTGCAGGGGCCCAGTGGAGCTGTTAAAAGGTCACCTGTCCGGGGTCCCTGAACAGAGATGCTCATTAAGTGTCCTTAAATGTCAGGAATAACCAATGGACCCACACAGCTGCACCTGCTGCAACAGTGGTAGTAATAGCGGCCAAAGCATAGCTTTGGACACTTTAATAAAGGGACACTGAATTGTTAGACACTCTGGAAGACCTTTATCTTCATGATATTTATACTGTTAGAAGGGGGAATTGGGTTATAGTGCTCCATTGTGAATTAGCTGTCTTTTTGTATCTGTAATAAATTGAAAGATGCATAACTGTTACATTTTACATTATTTTTTTTTTTTATTTGCTAGAAGCATGTCTTTATACACAGTGCTATTGAAAGTATCCTGCCCAACATTTTTATTATTATTATTATTAGTTATTAAACACTACCATATTCTGTTGTGTGTAAAATTGGTGGGCATTATTTTTAATGTTCTACTTAAAATTTTGCTTGTGTGCTGCTTACTCCTCTAGCACTCCAGTGGTTAAAGCCATAAAATGTTTGCAGAGATGACAAAAAGTCAGAAAGTGTATTTCTTTTTTTGTCCCTGCAAATATCTGCGAAGTACAAATAGACATTCCCATAGAGAGAAAGAGAGGGCTGTCTCAGGGATTATTTGCAACAGCAGCCTATCCTGGGACCTCAGTCTTAAATAAACAGACTGTCTCACTCCTATTTCATCACAAGCTCTTTTCACAGAATGAGAATCAATGGAATAAATCGCTTTCATAGACGTTGGAAAAAGCCATTTTTAACAGCAGGATATTAGTTGGGTAAGTGTTTTCAATTTAAATTATATCAGGCAAGCCTACAGCTATTCAATGTTTATTTATTTATTTATAAAATATTTTACCAGGAAAGGTACATTGAGATTTCTCTCGTTTTTAAGTATGTCCTGGGTTTTTCCAAGTATGTCTCACCATCCATTTCATCCTATTCTTTTCTGACATCCCTTCATCACATATCTTACTTTAATTAATGTTTGAAATGTAAAAGACAAAGGACTTGGAACAAGGAGATGAAATATCTACTAAAAACAAAGGTGGATATGACCAGAACATATAGGAAATTTTAGAAAGAGACATGATGGGGATTTAAAATAATTGTTATAAAATATATGAAGAAGAGGCAATATTATGTAATGTATGTGTTGAAAGAGAGAGACAGAGTGTGTGTGTGTGTGTGTGTGTGTGTGTGTGTGTGTGTGTCAGTAGTTGAGAGAGAGAAAAAGATAGCGATAGGTTTGTGAATGGAATATGAGAACAAGTGAAAACTAATTAAAAAGAATAGTAAAATAGAGGAGTATGAGAGGGGGAGTATGAAAGAGAAACATTAAATCTCTAAAGTACTAAAAGTGGACAACCACCACGAAAAGCACTGAATCACCAGGCACGTTTCATTGGTGTCTCCTATCCTTTTACATTTTTTGCACCACTTTTTAGAACATAGCAGTATGGTATGAGGCAAATGTGGATAGGATAGTAAGAAGAGTGTGAACATAAAATAAAGATTAACAATTTGTGTACGTAACATGGTGGAAATAAGTAAATGGGCAGTCTAAACACCATAACTATCTATGGCCCAACCTCCCCACCCCCACAACATACTGTTAATGTAGAAGTTTCACTTCTTCTTTATTAGCAATATCAATTTCAGCCATATTGTGATGGCAAAGATAAACTAAGCCCAGTAGGTGATGTCCTGTGCAAAATTGATTTTGCTAATTCAGAATTAGCAATAATGAGAGTGAGGGTCTAAGGTTGCCCAAAAATGGCTTGACCAAGAATTGGGGTACAGCGATGTCATCCCAAGTGCACCATAACCACTGCAATGGCATGTAGAACTTATGTTGAAAGATCAAAGTCAGATAAATGTGAACAAGATGAAAAGATAAGTAGGATCGAGGAGAGGAAGAAGGAAAAAATGAATGATTTTGGTATTATAGAGAGAACTGAATGGGTTAGGTATTTGGAAGAAGCGAAAGCAAACAACACTTGAATGTAATTAAGAGAGGATCTGAGAGGGAATAAAAAATTGGGTAAGGTGGTTGACATACAAAGGGTTATTTGCAAAAAATTGAATTATCAAAATTTAAACGCAATTTCAAAGTGAATTTCAAAAGTTAAGCAAAAATAGTTCAATTAAAACACTTCTCCAAGTCAATTATCTTGGCATTTAAGCAATTTTGTCCTTAAATATGAAATGTACTTTGAATTCCTGGAAATCTCAATTTAGTTAATAACCCTGCTAGTTGTTGGTCTGTGGAATATATACGCCAAAAAGAGAAATTTGAGAAAGGCGGAGGAGAGGAAGAATCGTGTGACATTTTTGCATGAGACGAAAGGTGGTAGACAGAGGCAATTGGGCGAGAGGGGTATTTTGATCAAAAAAGTGAATTGCAGCACAAAATAAATAATTCATTGATATATGTGTAAAAGATAAAAATATCATTGAGAGTACATGGGGAACAAATAGGATTGCAAGGATTGTAAGAGGGAAGGAATGAGTGAGCCATGTAAGATGAAAAGATGTAAGTGAGGGCTATGCTTTGTAAAGATGTGATGGTGTTTGCATTGCTGAAAGGTTGTGAATGAGGAGAGAATAGTCTATACTTGCATCCATAAACAAGTTTAACTGCATATTAAAATTAAAATCACTGCTTTTAAGATATCAAAATGTGCGAGTGGTATATAGCACATGAGGGAGAGATATTGGCTGTGAGAGCTCCCTTTGTAGGGTTAAATTCTTGAATTCACTCATTCTCATTTAGCATTAGATAGACCCACAAAGGTTCTTCACCCCGTAATATAAACACAACTGACCCCTTAGGACTTTACCAGGATGTGGCCCCTTTCCCATGCCTGTGTAGTGTCCCCTTATCTTATAGCTGTCAGTCTTCCTTTCATTTCTCAATCTTTATCTTTACTAAATCCATACAGAATTTGAGAAGGAGGCTGACAATGGTAGCATTCTATTTATATTTTAGATACAGTGTTCATTAATGTGAATGGTGACAGCTTATTTACATGAGTAGGGTTGGCAGACCCTATCCTCCAGGTTTTCTGCATGTCTATACCAGGACACTCTGCCCATTCAGTAATCCCAAAGATCTCACCCCCTATTCATACCCGAAAATGTAGTGTGGCAGAAATGTAGTGTTTTCCAGCAAAAAAGTGTTATCCCACCCATTAATGTTATTACGATTCAACTAACAGTGTTTTCATAAAGCAGACAACTGCTGCTGTAAAGAAAGAGAAACCCACACTCAATGTCTGCACTGTCTCAAAAACCCAGTAACTCTGCTACCTGTTCTAGCCTGCCGTGCTGTCATGGGTTGATTGGACTTGGGCTTATGGGCCAGCACATTAATCAGCCCCAGGGGCATATACAACCGCATTGCTATGGATGACAACATTGGCTGGCTGTACTGCATCCACACATTATGTTGGTTAAAATAGAAAAGAAAAATAGAAGCCCTCGGATTTTCCACTGAAATCATCTAACCATAGAGTAAAATGAGTTTACGTGAAATGTGATAGTTATAACCACACGGAACCTCGGCCAAGACCAAACTCTGGGGTTTTGGCTTAATTTCCACTTGTCAGCAAAAATCTCCACTTCCTCTCCTTTTTGCCTTTCTTTTGGGTCTACTAAGGACTGGAATGAAATCTTTGAATCATATAGAAATGAAAATATGTGTATTGCCTTGCCTTGAATTAAGGTGCACATGTGCCTTTGGCATAGAAGTAATTAAAAGCAAGCCAGCATATATCAGTTATTATAAATATCCGACAAGCTGTTATGGGTATATGGCAATCCAGGAAGTAATGTATTTGTGCTGCAATTTTTTAGAGGAGTCGATTTACTAAATTGGGAATTGTGAATGACTGACATGGCAAGCACAATACTCAAACATTACATCCCAACATTGAGATTTATATAATCGGAATGGGTTGGCCTTCCAAGAGACATCTCTGGCAATACCCACCGAAGCATACCCAAGAAGCGAGTGGGGAGCATGTCATCCTGGCATAAAAAATGCCATGCTGACATGCAACCTCCCAGCCAGCTCCATATGTGCAGGACCATGCATAAAACGCTACTAAAGCACTCTCTGCACCTGGACCGGTGCACTGGTTTTTGGCTATACAGGCAAAGATGCATTTTGCCGCTTCCTGCAAAAAATAATGTGTCTTCACCTGTGTGTATCTTAAAGCCCCTTTTGAATTTCTTACCCCTTTTTGAAATTCTTACCCTCTCTTCTTTTTCTTATTAGCTCTTTTCATTGTTTTAACCCTTTTAGTGTATCTTATGTGCCTTGTGTGCCTCTTAAAAAATCCACTTTGTGTATCTCATACTTCCTCCCAGTCACTTTGTATGTCTTCTCCCAGTTCCTTTGTGTCTCTCTTTCTCCACTTCTGCAGCTACTCTGTATGCCTCTTTCCTCAAGCCCCCTTTGTGTGTCATTTCACCCCAGCTCCTTTTTGTGCCCCATGTCCTCTTTTTCCGCGCTTCTGTGTCTTGTCCTCAGCCCGCTGTCTCTCTTTCTCTGCCCAGCCTCTCTTTTGTCTCTTTCTGTCCATCCACAGCTAATACACTTGCACTGTGCTGCCCGAACACAGTTTCAGATGCCAGGGAACTAAATTGGGATGGTGGGGCCGGACCACGAAAGTGGGATTGTTGGAGCCATGCTCTGACTACTGTTTTGGCCTAACATTTGTGATTTACTCATAAATCCCTCACAATCCCAGCAACCCTGGTTTAGTAAATAAACCCCAGATAATTTAATAATCTTGTGTTTTCTGAACAAGTGTGAACCCATCATTTCTAAACAAGGACTGTACTCTCTGTTCGCCGTGCAGTCAAGCAAAAAAATTGACTCTGGCACTATTCCATTGTCATTTGTCAACTTACTTGGTGTAACGGATGTCCTATACTCCGACTGAGTATATCTGTTGTGATTCTCCCATTTCCCAAGCGAAGCAGTGATTAGAGCTCTTGGTTACCCAAACATCAGCTGAGACTTGATTAAAGGTATAACAGGATCTGTTTATGGAAGGCCAGATACACAGTGTTTATGCACAGACCCCCACAGGGGATCTCCATCCACAGTAATGTAAAACATAAGCATGCCCCGGCGTCACTTTGTCTCTGAGATAATGGTATCTCCCAGGCACAGGAAGCCAACAGACAAAAACCCACAAAATACACAGTACACAGTAATGCATCCCCACATGCTCTACATCCCTGGAGAGCTCCTGGTCTGAGTGATCGGATGTACAGAGCCTGAGAAAGCATCGTGTAAAGTCTGGGCTCAAGGCTCTGTACACAACCGAAAACAGTTCCACAAGATCACTTGGTTTAAGCCGGTAAAAGCGGCGGCCATCAGGAGAAATGGCGCGAACACGTAGCGGCCAATGAGCATTCAGGGAGGGAAGGTGTTTTGCTCGACTTGCTTAGGGTTCCTGTGAGGTCTACAGTTACCCGGTGAAAGGGTTTGTCCACTATAGGTAGGGACCTTAATTTTGCTTTGGGTGGTCTCCTCTCTTCTCTACCTGCTGACAGGTATCACAGGTTCTGCAATATTCTTGTAGGTCACGCGACTCTGGGCCAGAAGAATGCTTGTGTGAGCTGGTAAGAGGTTTTCCGATTGCCTAAATGCCCTGCTAGGGGAATATTGTGGCTAAGCTGTAGTAGCTTTGCCCGGTATTTCTGCGGCACTACCAGCTGTCTTTTGGAAACCTTGGTGGACCCCTCTTAGTCCCTGCTGTTGCCCAGTATAGTAGGTCTTCCACCCACTCGAACCGTTCCTTCCTTAACCCCTCTGCCCCAGTCGCTGCTAGCCTGCGGTACCCGGCTAACGTAGGGTCTACCCTAAGTTCCTTCCTGAAATCCTGGTGTGTGTCCCAACCCGGGGGAATGTGGTCAGTCAGGGACGGGGTGTTTTGCCTTACCTGCAGTTCCTCAGAGTGCTAAAGTTCGGCGTTCCGGGCTTGTCATCGGGTGGTCACAGGGCATGCCGTCACTGGTGGGGCCAGTGTAAACTGAGAGGTGAGGTCCCCTAAATCGTTTCCCAAGAGCACCTCCGCCGGCAATTCTTGCATGATGCCGATGTCCGTGTATTTAGCTCCATTGCTCCAGTTAAGGTGCATCCAGGCAGTCGGGATGCGGTGGATGGCTCCGCCGGCAACTCTAACGGCCACAGTCCGGCCGGTCTTTGCCGTGGGGCTAACCCAGTGAGGCTGTACTAGGCTCAAGAAGGCCCCTGTGTCTCTTAGCCCATGAGCCTCCTTCCTGATGATTTTGAGAACCTGCCTATGCTGGTCACGGTTGTCCTCGGCAGCTTGTACCGGGTCCAACTCATGAAGCATGGGCCAAATTTCCTTGATGGCAACTGGATCACCCCCAGACTGGTCTTCCTTTGCACAGTGGCCCGCGGCTCGGGGCCGGTTACATGGGGTTTCGTGCTACTCCGTCTGGCTTCGCTGTTTTCACCCGTGGCATAGAGGGGGGGCGCGCAACGTGCTCTACTGCGGTAGCCGTGGGGGGGTTGTGCGGAGGGCCGGGAGTTATAAGGTTGGGGTTGAGGTGGCGGGGTGTGGGGTGTGGGGTGTGGGTCGGGTCATGAGGCCGAGGGACAGAATGACCTGAATGTCCTGCAACTCATCAGCCAGCCGGGCATCCTGCACTGTGAGGGGTTTCCGGTCCTTGACCCAGTCTTGGACCTCCGGTGTGATGAGGTCAAAAAATTGTTCTAAGAGGATCAGTTGGATGGCATCCTCCAACGTTACTACTTGGCACCCTTGTAACCAGTTATGGGCTGTCCATTGCATACGGAAGGCAAACTCCGTGAATGAGTCCTGGTGCCCTTTCCGTACATCTCGGAACTTCCCCTGGTGGGCCTCTGGGGTCACAGCATACCGGGCTAGCAGTTTTTCTTGCCTACTTCAAAGAGCACTCTCCCTGGTGCTACCCACGTGGAGATTTCCACAAGTGAGAGGTGCGAGCCCTAGCCAACACTATGAAACTAGAAGGCGGCTTCACAACTGCAGAGACCTGCCGACCAATGGGAGAACCATGAAAATTAGTTTTGCGTGCTTTATCCCGAGGGCTGGGCTGGGACAAAGGGGTTGCGGGGAGCGGGAGGGTTGCACTCTTTTGGGGGACACAGTCATATTGACACAGTTTGTTGCACTTGGGTTTCATCAAGACCACATACCCTGCTCTTCATATTCTCCTTTACAGTTAGGTGTACTGAGCTAGGCAGGGCTATGCAGGCCCACACTTTTTGTTTAAGAACATGGGCTGAGGACTTTCATCAACTGTGAGAGACTGGGACGTCTCCATGGCACTCATGGCGCCATAACTACTACAGCGGGCTGTAGTGATAATGGTACTTGGAGTGTTCCTTTAAAAGACAATAGTGTCTAAAGGATGCAGTTGGTAGCAAAAATGTTTGCAAAACCTTTTATGATAACCAACTGTTATTCTGTTTGATCATGTAGTGGCTGAGGCTTTTCTGAGAGTGTTTGGAACCAAAGCCGTTTGCTTTGTGTTTGTTCCAAATTAATGTAACACATTCTCTTATAGTGCACTCATACATACTATATATCATTTTTAAAGGATATATAGTTTTTTAAAATCTAATATCCTATATGCATGCATAGCACAACATTAATCATTAATAAACTCTTCACAGTTTTTCACAGAATTTCTACACAGTTAGTGAAATAAAATAAAAATAACTCAAAATAGATTCACTTTCTAGTCCTGATCATTAAAATGCGCAGTGCACAGTATGTCTAGGATTTCACATTTTTGAGAGAATAGTGGTTTTCAAAACTAAACCTTTGCAAAATTTGGTCTGTTGAGACTATAACCTATTATAATTGTAGTCATAAAATCCCAAACTTCTACACAAAAGCATGCATTTGTAGAAGGTAGACCCCCCTAAAGAATTTAATTTAAGCAGCACTATCACCATCGGTGGGCTTTGCCGAATTCAGCATTCCCCGATGGTGAGATCACCGCTGGTGGTTTGGTGGCTGTGGGGGGGCTGTTAAGGGTAAAATTACTTATCTGAACCTTTCCAGCGCGGGTGCTGCTGTCTTGATTGCACTGCTACTCTTCAACACCAGGATCCAGCATCACTACTGCACTTTAACGCATGAGGTCTATAGACTAACCCCTGGGTTCCTTCATAGATCCAGTTTACTTTGTCTCTGTATATCTCTTGACAGGATTGGGATTTCAGTGAAATTCCAACACAGTCATAATGAGTATTTCATAAAGATTCTATCTTAATGAAATACTCTTTTTTTTTTTTAGGTGGGGTTGACAGTGACACTTGAAGAGCATTTGCCATTTCTTTTCATTTAACCCCTTAAGACCGGAGGGCGTACTATTACGCCCTATTCTAAGCGGCTCTAAACGCCGGTCTTTCGGTACTTACCCGGTCGCCGGCGATCCCACGCCAGCGATCGCGGTGGGGTGGACTCCCAGGGAGCCCCCCGCGGCACGTCCGTCCTCCTCGAAGCCCCTCTGCCGTGTGAGAGTGGGGTCCTTGCGAGGATCCCACAATCACATGGCCGGGGGTAGCTGGCAGCAGCATTGCCAGCAGGGGGACTGCCTGTAATGACAGGTGGTCCCCCTGCTGGCTTAAAATAAAATAAATAAATAGTGTAAAAAAATAATAATTTAAAATTAGATCATATATATATTATATATATATATGATCTAAGTACATATATATACACATATACATACACACACGTACACCGTCTAGGTGTATTTTACTATTAATATATATATATATATATATATATATATTAATATCAAATTACACGTAGACTGATACTGATTAAATATATATATAATTATTGTTATATATATATTTATATATAATATAAAAAAAATAAAAATGTAAATACGTTAAAAAATAAAATTAAAAAAATAATTGAAAATAAATAATTAAAAAATATGTAGATGTGTGTTATTTCATTCTAACTGTATTGTGAAATTAATATATATATATATCAAAATACACGTAGAACGAAATAATATATATATCTATATACATAAATATATACGTATATATCACTATATATATACCTATATATAAATAAAAATATTTTAAAAAAATTATATATATATATATATATATATATATATATATACATATATATTCACATACGTATATATAAACATATATTAATTCTACATATATTTATGTAATATTTTTACATAATTGGGTATCTTAATTAATTACAATTAGCGGGACCTGCCTGACAACCCATGCCGAAAGTAAAGGGAATTTAATTTGCTAGCACTATATTTAACCCTATAACTTTCCAAGACACCACAAAACCTGTACATGGGGGGTACTGTTCTACTCGGGGGACTTCATTGAACACAAATATTAGTGTTTCAAAACAGTAAAATGTATTACAACGATGATATCGCCAGTAAAAGTGAAGTTTTTTTGCATTTTTCACGCACAAACAGCATTACACGGACAATATTATTGCTGTGATACCTTTTACTGTTTTGAAACACAAATATGTGTTCAGCGAAGTCTCCCGAGTACAACAGTACCCCTCATGTACAGGTTTTATGGTGTTTTCAAAAGTTACAGCATCAAATATAAGGCTTGCGTTTCATTTTTTTCACATTAAAATTCGCCAGATTGGTTACTTTGCCTTTGAGACCCTATGGTAGCCCAAGAATGAAAATTACCCCTATGATGGCATACCATTTACAATAGTAGACAACCCAAGGTATTGCAAACAGGGTATGTCCAGTCTTTTTTAGTAGCCACTTAGTCACAAACACTGGCCAAAATTGGCGCTTTTTGCATTTTTCACACACAAACAAATACTAACGCTAACTTTGGCCAGTGTTTGTGACCAAATGGCTACTAAAAAAGACTGGACATACCCCATTTGCAATACCTTGGGTTGTCTACTATTGCAAATGGTATGCCATTATGGGTGTAAATTTCATTCCTGGGCTACTATAAAGTCCCAAAGGCAATGTAACCAATCTGGCGAATTTCAATTTCAAATGTAACGTGCTATATTTGACCCTGTAACTTCCCAAAACGCTATAAAACCTGTACATAGGGGGTACTGTCTTACACGTGAGACTTTACTGAATACAAATATGTGTATTTTATTGCAGTAAAAGCAAACAGTATTATGACACTGACCGTTAAAATGTCATGTAGAACTAAAAAAATAAAAATAAATCGTATTTTCTCCCATTTTTTCATATTAAATTATGTTTCATAGCTAAATATTTGATATTAAATGAAAGCCCTGTTTCCCCTGAATAAAATGATATATAATAAGGGTGGGTGCATTTACTATGAAAGAGGTGAATTACGGTTGGACAGACATGTAGCGCAAATGCCAGGTTTTGTTTACATTTTGTTTTGTTCACAACGTGTACATTTGGCTCCGTCCTTAAGGGGTTAACTATTATATCAAAAACATCTGCCAGTTCTGCTGGTTATATTTAATCCCTCATGTTTTTCACACATGATTAATTTCACAGACAGGGAATTTCACAGACAGTGTTTGTAAAACTACTGCAAAACCCCATGTTTGCATTTCTGATCTTGAGCACAACAATACCCACCATGTAGACCTTTCCCAGTTAAAAAATGTCTTTGAGGAAGAAAGGATTCTGAAAAAGGTTTATTTTTTATTTTGCATGTTCAGTTTTATCTTACAGAAATCTGCAGAGATCTTTAAAGACCACTTGCTGAATTGTCCATTTCAAAATGACCTTTCATGGCCTTCTGTATATGATTGTCATGCCTTGTTTCTGCCTATCACAATTATCAAGTAGTGAACATTCATTGAACAATAATACCAGTCGACCCAAGTGCACCTATACCTTTGTGGTTCCACAGCAGAAGATAACTGGGGCTATATGTGTGAGCACAGCAAGATTTCCTGAAGCATTTGGAGCAAATAGAAGTGAGGTACAGGAGCTGAAAGAAGAATTAAGTCGTCAGCAAACAGAGATTAAGGAGCTGAAAAAGCTTGTGGAAGTGGACCATGATGTGGCCACAGAAATGGAGCAACTACGTAAAGAAAGCAGGAGCATGGGGTCCCGTCTTAGTCACCTCCAAACTCAGCTGCTCCATGAAGTCATCCTACGGAAAAATGAGTCTACAGAAATAATACAGGGTGAAAACAGAGGAATCAATGCCACCTCTGAAGTTCTCAAGTTGGCTTCTAAATACAGGGACCTCCAAGAGAAATATAATTTCCTGGCTTCTGTAATCAACAACCAGAGCTTGACCATAGCACGTTTGGAAGAACAATGTCTCCAAAACCTTGTTCGCCACCAAGCAGACCAGGTACATTGATTTTTTTTATTTTTATTTTTTTTTTGGCATAGGAAGGGAAAAATAAAATTAAATTAAGTAATGTCATTTGATGAATCTCCACATTAGACGTAAACACACATCACTTGATATGAAATTAACAAGGTTTATTTACCAAAATATAGTAGGAAATTGCTTTTACTCAAATAATAAGCTAGAGCAAATATCATATAAGGTAAACAGGCATTAAAAATAATCAATAGTACTGGTGGAATATTCATATTAAAGGACCACTATAGTGCCAGGAAAACATACTCGTTTTCCTGGCACTATAGTGCCCTGAGGGTGCCCCCACCCTTAGGGACCCCCTCCCGCCCGGCTCTGGAAGGGGGAAAGGGGTTAAATCTTACCTTTTTCCAGCGCTGGGCGGGGAGCTCTCCTCCTCCGATCCTCCTCTTCTCTTCCCCGTCAGCTGAATGCGCACGCGCAGCAAGAGCTGCGCGCGCATTCAGCCGGTCACATAGGAAAGCATTCATAATGCTTTCCTACGGACGCTGGCGTGCTCTCACTGTGAAAATCACAGTGAGAAGCACGCAAGCGCCTCTAGCGGCTGTCAATGAGACAGCCGCTAGAGTAAATAGGGGAAGGCTTAACCCATTAATAAACATAGCAGTTTCTCTGAAACTGCTATGTTTATGGAAAAATGGGTTAATCCTAGCTGGACCAGGCACCCAGACCACTTCATTAAGCTGAAGTGGTCTGGGTGCCTAGAGTGGTCCTTTAATGTGTGTTTAAACACCTCAAAAAAGTATTCATATTATAAATGGTTTGTCTTTAATGTACTGTATAGAACAGGTCCAATTTAACAGATTCCATAAACCAATACCTGTGAGTGATCAGCAATCCAAGGAGTCTCATTGATAGTCCACACATCCCACCATGCAAGTAATGGCAAGTAAAGAAATAGCATAAGTATTTAATCTGGTTAGTGAACGTGGAATGCAAAACTAACAGTTTTATTCACTAAAGGGAGAATGGTTGAGCAATCAACATGAATTCAAAGTGAATTTAAAATTTAGGACCAAAATAGCCAAATTTGACAAAAATACTCCAATTCTGGTATGCTTCCAGTTCAGTGATATTGACCTTGGATTTGAAATTGACTTTGATTTCACTACGAGTTCCCAAGATTCTAATTTTAATGAATAACCCTGTAAAAGTAAATACTAAGAATTTTGCAGTTGGTATTGACTGCACTGAATGATCTGAACTACAAAGGACCCAGTAGAAGGAGAGGACACCCACAGAGACATGTAGTAAGGATATCACTGCCTTTTTGTATTTTTACTGTTTGTCTAAAACCAGGTTGTTACTGAAAGCAGCTCACTCAGTGCTGTCAGTGGCTGAGCTGTGTACATACATTGCTAAGGAAATGTATCTGGAATGAGAGAGTGTGGCTAAGATGTGTTTGTATCTGTGTGTCAGTGTGTGCATGTGCCAGTATGTGTGTGTATCTGTGTGTGCATTTGTCAGTATGTGTGTCTGTGTGTGTGTATTTGTGTCAGTATGTGTGTCTGTGTGTGTATTTGTGATTTTCAGTGTACATGTGTCAGTATGTATATCTGTGTGTCAGTATGTGCATGTGTCAGTATATGTGTGTTAGTGTGTGCATGTGTCAGTATGTGTTTTTGTTTATCTGTGTGTGTATATGTCAGGGTGTCTGCATGTGTCAGTGTGTGTCTGTGTCTATGTGTTTGTATCTGTGTGTGTGTGTGTGTATCTATGTTTTTATATATATGTATCTGTGTGTTAATGTGTGTGTGTGTGTATGTATGTATGTATGTGGCAGTGTATGTGTGTGTGTGCATGCATCCAAGAAGTCAAACACCAGCACAACATACAAACACACTTCTGCAAGCTAACACAAATATCACATACAAATACACCCCTGCATTCAAACTCCAACATTATATACAAACACACCCCTTCATTCAAACACCAATACTACACACAAACGTACATTCGCATTTAAAAGGCAAAGCACACCCTGGCAATCAAATGCAAACATTTCTTACACACACTCCCTTGTATTAATACACCTAGATTATATACAAGCACCCCTTGCATTCAAACACTACACACAAATACCCCACTGCATTCAATGGCAATAGTACACATACTAATACACCCCTACATGCACATAAATTCTATACAAAAACATGCTTACATTGAAGCTCACAAACACTGCTCACGAATACAACCCTGCAAGGATGGGCAAATGGTGGATCCTCTGATCTGTTGTACAATATGTTGAAGTTGTACGGCAGATGAGGATCTACCTTTTGGCCACCCTTGGACTAGAGGAAGGCTCAAAAAAACTTTCTTGCACGAGGGCCCTCCCTACATTAATTCTGACACTGATCACTATCCAGTGGTGGTTGGTATTGTGTTTCCTAACTGTGAGTTTGTTTGTATAATAAGTGTTTTTATGCATTTTCCTTGCTGGTTCTACATGTTTCTTACATATTTGCAGTTGTATAGGATTAAATGGGATGATTACTGCCATGATTAAAGCACTGTTATGAGAGTGGCAGAGTTCTTCTATTTCTACCGAGTACTGGGAATAGAATGCTAAAGCAATTATAGCCTTTCCCCAAACACCAGTCAAGACTTGGCAAAGAGATAAAATAATAATGCCTTATTGGGACAATAGTCACTTATTTATAGGGACAGAACAGGTCATCAACCTGAACAGTGGGTCACCTCTCTGGCAACTCTGTGTATGGAGAATAATGCAATTAACAAGGAAATTATTTTATTAACTTTCAGAAAACAGGGCGCCTTACAACAATATTCCCAAAATAATACCTGTGACATAACCTCAGTTCTGCCACTATGAAGAGACTTCCCTTAAGAGGTGTTCTCACACTCCCTGAGGTTCTCCTTCACCTGGCACAGCCCAGAAGAGCACCTGCACTCCAACGATAGTTTTTTTGTTTTTTTTATTTAAAAAAACTATCTTGATTTGTAAGAAAATTAGAGGAAACTCTAAAGAATAAAGACCCTAAGTTGAATGGTATTTACTTATTTATTTGCTTGTTTCTTTGCTCCCAACTAACAGTGGATTATAGTTATGTTTTGCACATTGTTTTATATGTAGTGATTCTTAGAATTACATTGTTTTCTTTATTATTATTATTATTTTATTATTTATATAGCATCATCAGATTCCGATTTATGAACCACAATGTGCATTTAGTCTACTTATGATACTGGAAGCAACAAACAGTTATAAAAAAAAAAAAACTTAAATCCCAAATCATATTTGATGTAATATATTGTTTCCAGCAAAGCAATTGATTGATTTTAATATTTCCAGGATCCAATTCACAAACCACCAGCTGATGGTTCTCCTACTGATGGAAGAACAAAGCACAACATTGAGATTCAGGACGACCAAACCAAAGATGCATCTGATAGAAAGGAGGTACCTTCAACGGAACCAGCCTCCAGTGCTCCTACTGTTATGACTACAGAGGCCACCGAGTCTTTAGGTACCTGCAGAATAATATTATTATATGTCAACTCATGAATAACAGTCTCAAAATAGTGTAAGTGAAATATGTAAAATCCGAATCTAACAAAAAAAAAGGAAATTATGAAAAAAAATATATATATCTATATATACATATATATATATAGATAGATAGATAGATAGATAGATAGATATATCCATCTAAAACAAACAAAGGTAACAAAATACTGATTGGCTTAGAGAGTCGGGTGTCCGCTCTAGCCAATCAGCGGCGCCCCTGCCAGGTGGCACTCCGCGCTTCCTAAAACTCAATTTCAGAAGCCATATGCCGCCGGGGGAACTGCAGAACTGGCACTGGACTGGAGGCAATCTTTGGTGTTTGAGTTTAAGCCCCTTTAGGTGGGCGTCCTGGCACCATAACTTCCTTTTGATTAAGTTGTTATGGTGACCATAGTTTTCCTTTAATACACTGCACTCCACAGTCTTGATTATATGGTTTGGTCAGTTTAATGACAGGCAAACTTAAATCCTTCCACTGCGTTAGTGTACACCACATCTGGTTTTAAGCTATGCCTTCAAATACTTCTAATATAGTATTCTTGAGACTTCAATCTCCAGTTTATGCCATTTTCCTCTAACCAATCTTTCACTTTTCTATCCCCTGATATATATATATATTTATTTACATTCCACTCTGCAGGACCAGCTAGTATTTTCTCAATCCAATGCTAGTTAGTAAGAATTAAATATCAAAAGAGGCCATATATCAAAAGGTGCAGAATAAAGAAAAGATCCCTGCGTACAATATTTATTGCTGTCACCTCAAAAAAAAAAAGCGAGCCGAACGCCCTCATGGATGAAATGTGGTCAACCAAACAATTATTTGTGGTGAATTAATTCGGGCAAATCGAATTTTGCCACCATGCACAATTCTAATGTAAAATGTTGATCAAAGTTGTATACATTTTACTAAACAGGAACATCTCTAAAGCAAAGCACTTCACATACAGCAATCACCATAGAATAAGTTCCTGCTGCTTTCTCTGGGATTTGCACTTTGTCTCAGAATTGCTTACATTTTGCCATGATAAATATGACCCATACAGTTGCAAGAAAAAGTATGTGAACCCTTTAGAATGATATGGATTTCTGAACAAATTGGTCATAAAATGTGATCTGATCATCATCTAAGTCACAACGATAGACAATCACAGTCTGCTCAAACTAATAACACACAAAGAATGAAATGTTGCCATGTTTTTATTGAACACACCATGTAAACATTCACAGTGCAGTCGGAAAAAGTATGTGAACCCTTGGATTTAATAACTGGTTGAACCTCCTTTGGCAGCAATAACTTCAACCAAATGTTTCCTGTAGTTACAGATCAGACATGCACAACGGGCAGGAGTAATTTTTGACCATTCCTCTTTACAGAACTGCAAAATATCTTGATAAACTTGGGAATTCATTTTTCCTTCAATGATAGCAATCCATCCAGGCCCTGACGCAGCAAAGCTGCCCCAAACCATGATGCCCCCACCACCATACTTCACAGTTGGGATGAGGTTTTGATGTTGGTGTGCTGTGCCTTTTTTTCACCACACATAGTGTTGTGTGTTTCTTCCAAACAACTCAACTTTGGTTTCATCTGTCCACAGAATATTTTGCCAGTACTGCTGCGGAACATCCAGGTGCTCTTGTGCAAACTGTAAATGTGCAGCAATGTTTTGTTTGGACAGCAGTGGCTTCCTCTGTGGTATCCTCCCATGAAATCCATTCTTGTTTAGTGTTTTACGTATTGTAGATTCGCTAACAGGGATGTTAGCATTTGCCAGTGACTTTTGTAAGTCTTTAGCTGACACTCTAGGATTCTTCTTCACCTCATTGAGCAGTCTGCGCTGTGCTCTTGCAGTCATCTTTACAGGACGGCCACTCCTAGGGAGAGTAGCAGCAGTGCTGAACTTTCTCCATTTATAGACAATTTGTCTTACCGTGGACTGATGAACTGCAAGGCTTTTAGAGATACTTTTATAACCCTTTCCAGCTTTATGCAAGTCAACAATTTTTAATCGTAGGTCTTCTGAGAGCTCTTTTGTGCGAGGCATCATTCACATCAGGCAATGCTTCTTGTGAAACCCAGAACTGGTGTGTGTTTTTTATAGGACAGGGCAGCTGTAACCAACACCCTCAATCTCATCTCATTGATTGGACTCCAGTTGGCTGACATCTCACTCCAATTAGCTCTTGGAGATGTCATTAGTCTAGGGGTTCGCATACTTTTTCCACCTGCACTGTGAATGTTTACATGGTGTGTTCATTAAAACATGGCAACATTTCATTCTTTGTGTGTTATTAGTTTAAGCAGACTGTGATTGTCTATTGTTGTGACTTAGATGATGATCAGATCACATTTTATGACCAATTTGTGCAGAAATCCATATCATTCCAAAGGGTTCACATACTTTTTCTTGCAACTGTATGTGTTTTACTGATATTATCAAGTGAGTGACTGTAGGATAAGCATACATAGAACAGTAGTATAGATAGTAAAATATTTGGGAGCTTGGAAAAAATATATTTTTAAAAGCAAGTTCTAACTGTTGTGTAACAGGTCCTTGGCTGGATTGCTATGATGTACTCTTAGATGGGAAGACATCCAGTGGCATCTACGTTCTGAAACCATTAGTCGGAAACCAGGTGATGCAAGCCTGGTGTGACCAGGAAGTAGCAGAGGGAGGGTGGACAGTCATCCAAAGAAGACAGGACGGATCTACCAATTTCTTCACAACCTGGCATAACTACAAGGTGAGTCCATTGCTTAAAGGAACACTATAGTCACCTAAACAACTTTTGCTTAATTAAGCCATTTTAGTGTATAGATCATGCCTCTCGGGTTTCACTGCTCAATTCTCTGCCATTTAGGAGTTAAATCACTTTGTTTCTGTTTATGCAGCCCTTGCCACACCTCCCCTGGCTCTGATTGACAATTTTTTTTGACAATCAAAAAAAAAAACTGGTTTCACTTTCAATCAGATGTAATTTATCTCAAAATTTTTATCTCTTGCTCTGTAAATTGAACTTTAGTCACATACAGGGTCTAGCAAGCTATTAAGGGGATACAAAAATCTAAATTAAACAGAACTTGCAATAAAGGAAGGATAAACTTTAGATGACTCTTTACAGGAAGTGTTTATGGAAGGCTGTGCAAGTCACATGCAAGAAGGTGTGACTAGGGTTCATAAACAAAGGGATTTAACTCCTAAATGGCCGAGAATTGAGTATTGAGACTGCAGTGGCATGTCCTATACACCAAAACTGCTTCATTAAGCTAAAGATGTTTTGGTGAGCCTAGTGTCCATTTAATCTGACATTTGTATTTTCCACTTTATCTTTTCTGGCATTTTCCTTGCCATGTAGAGAATAATATTATCCCAGTACATTAGAATTCAAATTCTACAAATATTACTTTCCACTGCCACCCAATACACCTCTCTTGCTCTTTTTTCCTAACTTACCAATTCAAACGTCACTCTGTCTGTTCTAATTACCTTCTTTTTTACTCCACAATTTTACCATCTAGTCTATTTCAACACTATTACTTTCTTTATATGTCCATATTTCCCTGTACCTACTTTGGCAATTCTGTGTCATGCCAGCATGGATTTGGCCACTTGGACGGTGAATATTGGTTGGGCCTGGAGAACATTTATTGGCTAGTCAGCCAAGGGAGTTACAAGCTTTTGATCCTTATGGAAGATTGGCAAGGTCGGACCGTTCATGCTGAGTATGACTATTTTCGCCTGGAACCAGAGAGTGATTTCTACCGATTGCGTGTGGGCCTTTATCGTGGCAATGCTGGTGATTCGCTCTCCTGGCATAATGCCAAACAATTTACAACCCTGGATAAGGACAAGGATTCTTACACTGGTAAGTCACATTGCCAAACTAGATATTTACTCGTCAACAATGAGATGCTGTGTGGTTTTTGCGTTTTTTTTCTCCCATTGGTGACATCATAATGAGCAAATGGTAAAAAAGTGAATGCTTATGATTTAAAGGGATACTATAGTCACCAGAACAACTATAGCTTAATTGAGTTGTTCTGATTTCAACAGCCTGTCCCTGTAGGTTTTTCAGTGTAAATGCTGCCTTCTCAGAGAAAAGACATTAGTGTTTACAATAGCATCTGGGGACTGCTGTAGTGGCAGTAACTCATACAGCCACTAGAGGTGCTTCCTGGGTCAGTACTGCACAATATGCAGCACTGATGTTCAGTATCTCCATGCTCTGCATAGAGGTGCAGAAACGTCCTCATAGAGATGCATTAATTCAAACTCACCTTCTTATCCAGAGAAAACTGGGGTCGGGACCTTAACTGTTATTTTAGAACAATAGTGTCAGAAAATGCACGTTTGTATTCCTGACACTATAAATAAATAATTGTTGAGTGATGCATCTCCCTTTATATTGTTGTATGGTTACAGGGGCATCTGGCCATTAGTGAATAAGACCTTTAGAATACTTCTCCAAGCTATATACAGTCAATTATTCATGGTTAGGGAGTGCTACCGTACCGAATGGTCAATATAAAATAAAATAAAAACATTAAAAGAGAATGAAGTTAAGAGAAACAAGCTAGAAATATACTTTAAATAATTAAATAAAGCAAAGGGATGGATGACAAGCAGCCAATATTTCATGCATATGGAGGGATGAAGACTAGAAAGCAACTTTAGAGTTATTTTAGTGGATGGGTCCAATGAATTATTAATGCTGTTTGGTTTCCTAATTAAAATTTTGTTTAGTGCATCTGCCTCATTCATTCAGTATTCTCACACTCAAAAAAGATGATTCATCGTCATATTCCGGTTATTTTCAGTCTGTTTCCCATGAATGATCTTTGTTGATATTTATCTCTATATTCCACTGACAGTCTATGTAATTACAGGCTCTCCTGTAACCTTTCCTTGTAAGTTTTATCCTGCAATCCATGAACCAGTTTAGTAGCCCTTCTCTGAACTCTCTCCAAAGTATCAATATCCTTCTGGAGATACGGTCTCCAGTACTGCGTACCAGGGGCGTACTTAGAGCATTTGGCACCCGAGGCGGATCCTGTGCTTGGCACCCCCTCGCCCCCTCCAAAATAAAAAAAACCTGTAAAAAAAAATGTTAGGCCCTCCTACAAAACCCTTGTCCTGCCCTGCCCCATCCTACAAAACCCCCGTCCTGCCCCCTTCTACAAATCCTGTACTGCCCCCGTCTACAAAACCTCCGCAACCCCCTTCCACAAATCCCCCGCTTATCCCCCCTTATAAAGACTCCTGCCCCAATACAAAACCCCTGCCCCCTTCTACAAACTCCCTGCAGCCCCACACACACATTTACAGGCAGACAGTCACACACTCAGTTACAGACAGACAGTCACACACTCAGTTACAGGCAGACAGTCACACGCACACAGTCACAGACAGTCATGCACACAGTTGCAGGCAGACAGTCACATATACATTGACACACACAACAGCAGCAGACAGTCATATGCACACAGTCACAGACAGTCACACACGGTTACAGGCAACATCAAACAGTCACAGGCAGACAGTCACGCATACATAGTCACACACACAGTTATAGGCAGACAGTTACACACACAGTCAGTTACAGGTAGTCACACACATTCATAGCCAGACAGTTACGCACATAGTTACAGACAGTCACATATACAGTCACTCACACACATAGTCACAGGCAGAGAGTTACACACACACACATACAGGCAGACACACACACACAGTTACAGGCAGACAGTCACATATACATTGACACACACACACGACAGCAGCAGACAGTTTCATGCTCACAGTCACAGACAGATATTCACACACGGTTACAGGCAACATCAAACAGTCACAGGCAGACAGTCAGGCAGACAGTTACACACACAGTCAGTTACAGGTAGTCACACACAGTCATAGCCAGACAGTTACACACACAGTCAGTTACAGGTAGTCACATACAGTCATAGCCAGACAGTTACACACACAGTTACAGGCAGACAGTCTCACACACACACACACAAACACACATACACACACAGTTACAGGCATACAGTTACACACACACACACACACATACACACACACATAAAATTACTGGCAGACAGTTACACACAGACAGTCTCACACACACAGTTACAGGCAGACAGTTACACACACACATACACACACAAAGTTACAGGCAGACAGTTATACGCAGACAGTTACACACACAGTTACAGGCAGACAGTTTTACACACACACAGACACACAGTCACACACTCTTACTTACAGGCAGTGGGCTGGAGGAGGACTGGAGTCCTTCTCTGAAGCCTGTGGAGAAGCAGACATTCCATCTTGCTGCACCTCCTAACAGCCGGGATAAGGGCCATATTAAGCCCTGCCCCCGCTGCCGGTTTGGCTCCGCCCCTGATCTCGCTTAGCTCCGCACCCACTTTGCCTCCGTGCTGCCAGGGTAATGGCACCCCCTACCCTGTTGGCACCCATGGTGGACCACCCCCTCCGCCCCCCCTTAGTACGCCACTGCTGCGTACAATACTCCAAGTGAGGCGTGAGCACTTCCCTCTTTCTACTGCTAATACCTCTCCCTATACAACCAAGCATTCTGCTAGCATTTTCTGCTGCTCTATTACATTGTCTGCCTACCTTTAATCATCTAAAAGAATTACTTCTAAATTCCTTTCCTTAGATGTTGAGGTTAGGACTCTTTAAAATATTCTGTACTCTGCCCTTGGGTTTTTACGTCCAAGATGCATTATCTTGCACTTATCCACATTAAATGTCAGCTGCCACAACTCTGGCTATTTTTCTAGTTTACCTAAATCATTTGTCATTTGGCTTATCCCTCCTGGAACATCAACCCTGTTACATATCTTAGTATCATCAGCAAAAAGACATACCTTACCATCAAGACCTCCTACAATATCACTTAAAGAGAATGGGTCCAAGTACAGATCCCTGAGGTACCCCACTGGTGACAAGTCCAAGCTTTGAATATACTCCATTGACTACAACCCTCTGTTGCCTGTCACTCAGCCACTGCCTTACCCATTCCACAATATTGTAATCCTAACTTAAATATTGCAGTTTATTAATAAGCCTTCTATGAGCAACAGTGTAAAATGCCTTACTGAAATCTAGGTTGGTCTTACCAGGCACCCCTGCTGGCTGCCATACTTTTCTCAGGCTCCTGACCTCTCCAGGAATTATCTTAATTTTAACCTCATAATTCCTCAGAAATATTTCAAGGACCAATATCAACGCCACATATCATACAACTGGATTTACCAAAATTGAACAGATGGCATTACTAAACTGAGATACACAACGGATTGAAATATACTTCCACTGGACAATCTTACTACCAGGAAGAGATACCTTCAGCTGAGCACCACAAACAAGGTATATTTAAACTAAAAAAACTACTCACCCCATGTGTAAATTGGGTTTTGGATTTGATCATCCATTCAGCAATGCTCAGATTTCATCTCTAAACACCAAGAAAACTAATTGATGAAAACTATTTTACTAAAACACATTGGTTTTGAACTCCTGTAATCTGACCTGCAGTGCATGCTTTCTTATCTGTTATCTACAATGCAGCCTGAAGTGCAAAATCTCACACCTCACTCTGGCCTGAATCCTATAGAGCATGGCAATGTACCCAGCCCCCACTTCTAACATCCCTACAAAAACTATTTTAACTCCTTCACTGCTGATTGAATGATCACCTATACTCCCTCATATCTGTATTCCCTAAGACCCCAAAAAGCGGTCGCTGCACTCAGTCCCTCGCTAGTGGTTATCCTAAAATCACTTGGCATCTTCAAAGGGACTGACAGGGGCTGTCGTGGAGGAAAATCAAAACGTACAGTTCTATATCCTCCTGACTCTATCACAGCCGCTCCACCATCCTGTCTACCTACAAGCCCAATTGAAGTGATTCAACCTAGAAGCCACAAAAAAAACGCACTATTAAATCAAGGAACCTGTTTGTGTGATCCCCATTAGAAGACACACTGTTTCCAAAGTACAGAGCAAAAACTCAGAATCCCAAGACTGTCCTATCAGATCAATCCTGTGCAATGCCAGATCAATAAGAAACAAAACAGCTATTATTGCCGACCTTATTGAATCATGTGAATTAGTGTGCAGTACAGAATCGTGGCTAGATGAGAATGCGGGGCCTATTCTAGAGACAGCTATTCCAGGCAATTACACAGTGTTCCACCGCCCAAGACAAGATCGCAGTTATGATCTGTGCAAAATCATCCTTAAATCCCAGACCAATAGAAGTCCACAAACCCCAATCTTTTAAATGCTTAGCTGCTCAATAGATTGAGGATTCTGGATACTGTTAATATACAGACCCCCCAGGAGATGGGAAGAGATTTATTTCAGGAACTCTCAGACCTTTTGGCTGGCTTAATCCTTGAACACCCCAGATGGCTTATATTGGGAGACTTCAACACTTGGATTGATGACACCCTATCCCTGCTTGGGCAGGATCTCCTCAGCCTGATGAGTGCACTTGGCTTCACACAAATAGTTGCCACTTCCACCCACAGAAAAAGTCATACACTTGATCTAGTGTTCCAGTCTGCACTAGAAGTGTCACCAGTAACTGTAAATCCAGTTATTTGGTCAGACCGCCACTCCATTCACTTCTCAATTGTATCACAATCAACCAGACCCCAGCCTCAGAACCTGGTCAAACACCGCTCATTAAAAGGAGTGATGCCATTGGATGGAACATCACATATAGATATAAGTGAACTAATGTGAAGACCCCAGCTCCTTAGTCCGACTCTACAACAAAACCATGAGAGACACTCTAGAAAGCATTGCACCAACACGCATGTGCACTGTCAAAACCCACAACAATGCACCGTGGTTTGATAGCACCATCAGAGAATGAAGAGAACAGGCCGTAAACTTGAGAGAAAGTGGCACAGGACACATGATCCAGAGGATGAAGCCGCTCTTACCAAACATATAAATGAATATCAATTCAAGATAACTCAGAAAAAATCTTAATTTTTATCACTCAAAATTGCATTCTCCCACAGTTGACCCAGGCAACTGTTTCGCACAGTAAAAAAGGTTCTGCAAACCAGCATGCATGCATATCCCCACCAACTTTTCCCAGGATAAGTGTGAAGCATTTGCAATCTTGTTCAGAGACAAGATTTCCTCAATCCGAGCCTCTATCACAGCAGGCCAAACCGCTACACACCAGAACCACTACAATGGAATGCCAGATTGCCCCAGTTTATGGTCCACTTTTACAAATGTGTATATAAAGGGAGTTAAAAGAACCACGCAAAAGTTACACCCTGCTACGTGTGACTTAGACCCTGTTCCAACTCAGCTTATATCTGGATGCATTGGAACACTCGCCACAGCCCTCACAAAAATAGTGCAATGTTCACTAAAAACTGGAGACTTCCCAGATCCTCTAAAAGAAGCTGTGCTAAAACCACTTCTAAAGAAACCCTGATTAGACCCAGACTGCATGGCTAATTACAGACCAGTATCCAACCTTCCATTTCTGGGGAAAATAATTGAAAAAATAGTGGCAACTCAACTGGAGGCCCATCTATCAAGCTTGAACATATTTGATCCTTTCCAGTCAGGCTTCAGATGCCGCCAGAGCACTGAAACAGTGCTAGTCCGAGTGCTAAATGATCTCCTTATGGCGAGAGACAAAGATGATTACTCCATCCTAATCCTCTTTGATCTCTCAGCTGCATTTGACACCATTGACCACTGGATTTTATTGGAGCACTTGCAGCACATCTGTTTTCTAGGAGGCACTGTCCTTTACTGGTTTAAATCTTTCCTCACTGGTAGGTCGCAGAGAATAATATCATGATCAAGCTCATCGGCACCAACAGAACTGAGCTGCAGAGTTCCACAAGGATCCATCTTGTCTCCCATGCTAATCGCAATTTACTTGCTACCAGTGGGGGACATCATTAGGCGACATTGTTACGCTGATGACACACAACTCTACTTCTCCTTTACTCCAGATACCACAGATGCAACAGCATCAACAGTTGCTTATCAGACCTCATAGAATGGATGAATGCTAGTTGGCTTAAAGTGAACCCGGACAAAACAGAGTTACTCTTGGTGAGGGGACCCCCAGCAACAGAAATATCCCATGATCACCCAACTGGCCTGGAGCTTGGAGGCTCTGAACTCAGTTCATCAAGGGTACGAAATCTCGGAGTACTGATTGACTCTAGACTTTCATTTAAACAGCAGATTTCCTCCGTAATAAAATCTGCCAAATCTGCCTACTTTCATCCGAAAAACATAGCCAGGACACAACACTTAATTCCACCGGATGATTTGCCAACATTAATCCATGCATTTGTATCCTCTCGGGTAGATAACTGTAATGTACTTTACTTGGTCCTCCCAGAAACGAACTCCATCGCCTTCAGACAGTACAAAATGCAGCAGCCAGACTACTGACCAATCAAACTCGCTCCTGCCACATAACACCTGTTCTCCACTCCCTGCTTTGGCTTCCAATTAAATGGTGAACATATTTTAAAATTGGCCTGCTGACCTTCAAAGCCTTAAACAATCAAGGCCCACAGTACCTGAAAGAGCTCCTGACATCCTACATTCCATCTCGTTCACTTCGGTCAGCCAGCAAATCCCACCTGTCAGTGCCAAAAATAAAGGCAGACTCAGGTTCCAGGGCTGCCCCTACCTTCTGGAACTCTTTACCGTGGACAATCAGAGAGGCACCATCCTTGCAGACTTTTTAAAAAAGCTAAGGACCCACCTCTTCCATCAGGCATTCAGTCCGCTCAGCTGACCTTCAGAAACTCCTAAATTTTATGTCTCTATGTTTGTTTATTTGTAAAGTTCTATGAGTCTCACAGGGAGAAAAGTGCTGTTGGGGGCTGGCAGAAAGCTGTAACTTACCTTTCCTGCAGCTCCTGTCAGCTCCTTTCTCTCTCCTCCGGTCCGGTCAGCTCCACTGTAAGTCTTGCGAGAGCCACGGGGTCAGAGCGTTGCCACGGCACTCAGACCACGAGACTTGCAGTGGAGCTGACCAGACCAGAGGAGAGAGAAGGGAGCTGACAGGAGCTGCGGGAAAGGTAAGTTACAGCTCGCTGCCAGCCCCCCTCCTGCACAGCCAATGCCACTGGACCACCAGGGAATGAGAGCCCCCCTCCCTGGCCATGAATCAAGCAGGGAGGGGGGACGAATAAAAATGTAAATAATAATAAAATATTAATAATATTAAAAAAATAATAATAATAAAATAAAAATATTAATAATATAACAAAAAAATTATTAAAATAATAATAATAATTAAAAATAATAAAAATGCCCACCCCCCACCAAGGCTCTGCATAACATACACAAACACACTCTGCATCACACACACACACTGCATTCCTACACACACACAATGCACTCATATACACACACACACTGCACTCATACATACACACACACACACTGCATTCATGCACACACACACTGCATTCATTATATACACACACTGTAAATAAATATTCAATTAATATAATTTTATAGGGATCTAATTTTATTTAGAAATTTACCAGTAGCTGCTGCATTTCCCACCCTAGTCTTATACTCGAGTCAATACGTTTTCCCAGTTTTTGGGGGTAAAATTAGGGGTCTCTACTTATGTTCGGGTCGACTTATACTCGAGTATATACGGTATGAATTCACAGTAAAATAAGACTGATTTATTCCATATACATATGGCAACACAATTTTTTTTTGATTGGAGTCTAATTACATTAGTTTCACCCAAGATGAGGAATTGTGACTGTATATTAATTTTATGAATGCTTAATTAAACTTTTAGCGCTGACACGTGTATATATATTTATATATATATATGTACTGAATAAGCACCTTTAAGTTTTGGTATGTTTTCAGCTGCTTTTTATTTTATAGGATTTATACACCAATCTTTTAACCAATTTTTATTAATATGGTAATTTCTATGTATTTATTGTTGTAAATTTGATCTATACTGTGTTATTTTGAGATCACATCTAACCTCTGGTTTATTTCCCCACAAGGTAACTGTGCTCATTTCCAAAAGGGAGGATGGTGGTATAATATGTGTGCTCACTCGAACCTCAACGGGGTGTGGTATAGGGGTGGCCATTACCGCAGCCGCTTCCAAGATGGCGTTTATTGGGCTGAATTTCGTGGTGGTGCATATTCGCTTAAAAAGGTTTCCATGTTAGTGAAACCCAATAAATAATTATTAAAAAAAAAAAAAATCACCTTTCTATAGACTTTACATTCAACATTCTGTTATATATAATAATACTAAGAAACTTCATTAAATGCTGCGCTGTAAAATAATGCTGAGTATCCTAATGGACAAACTATTTGAAATGAAATTATCTGAAATTATATTGACAGATCATGAACAATCTATACTGTGTATTGCCAGCGAGTATCTTCGCACTGATAACAAATATCGATTATTTTTACACTGAAAATGAATATAATGTGCTGCATAATGTAGTGCTGTAGTATTTTAAACCTCATATTAGTCATAACTGCCTGTGTCCAGCATCTATACAAGACAAACACTACTTTTTTTTTTTTATTATTTTTATTTTGCTCCAAAAACATGTTTGTTTGTTTTTTTTTTTTTTTTAATTTATAAAAGCATTTTAAAAAAAACATACAGATTTAACACCATTTAAGACAAACTTTTAGTTTCCAAGAAAATTGTATATGGAGTACGAAAGCCAATCAGATTGACAAACTCCTTTACAATGAAGCATGATGGCAATCCAAACATGGCATCTACAATGCTTTTTTTTTTTTTTTTACGTTCAAATTTCTACGAAAAAAGTCAATGTTAGAATTTGAATCAACAATATGAAAATGTTAAAGAGAACCAATCAGGAACATATCTTGTGTGTAAATCACTGTATTCACTAGCAACATTGTGTGCAAAGTTACAAATTTGTATTAAACTGTATGTTTCTTTAATTTTGTATTCCTAAATGTGCATTTTCCTAATGTAAGCATTGTCCTGCCTGTGATGTCCTGCCAAAACCATTATCTAGGCTTGAAAACAAAGTAATGACTGTTTACTTTTAATGGCATATCACCTGATTGAAAGATACAAAGTTATAAAATGAATATTGTTCGGTTCATTTAGAGAAAATCTTTTAGAAATTGTGCACTCCTACACAAGTCATAGGCTTGCAAAGCATCATGGGAAATCACAACAGCTGGGACACCTCTGTTATGAAACCTATGTAAGTAAAGGTCTGAGGAGCTTTTCATCAGGGCTGTTGAAAGGCACCACCACGTCAGTCAACTACAACTACCATGATGCTCTGCCAGACTGTAGTTTATCCCTTAGTTCCCATGAAATAACAGATAAACCCAAAGTGGTTCCTCTAACTGTACTGAAATCTTAAAAACTTATAAGGCCTGATTAGATTTGGTGTTTTAGAAAAATGGTCCCATATACTGAATGATTGTGGTATGAAATAAAAATGATATCACATGTGGTAATAAAATGCACAAGAAACATAGTGACCAACAGGAGCTGATTCTCTGACAAACTTACAACAATGATTTGCATACAGGTGCATGCTTAAACATAGAATGCTGATAACTCGTCCCTCTATATTGCACCATACACCTAGACTTAACAAAAACAATCACTTACAACCAGAGAGAAGATTGTGTCTCAAAGCTTTCCCACTGCATGCAGGTATTCACTATACCGAAAATCAACAAGGGTATATACAGGGGAAGCAGTAAGTCCTTTTCTGGTTTAACTATCCGAATCTTCTCTATCTTCATTTATATCATCCATGATGATATCATCCAAATCCCATTGTGTTAGGCTTCCTTGACTCAGGCAGGTAGCCACAGTCGACCCTGTACTGAAATGGGGTTCACTGCCAAGCAACACTTTGCAGAGATTGTTCCTGGCCCGGCTCCTTGGGTGAACACAAAATAGGCCAATAACATGAGGTTCTGTTTGGAAACAGTGAAGAAAAACATTATTTGTTCAGCTCTAATTTTACCTGGTAATTTATTGTTGTCTACATCAGTGTTCTGCAACCTTTTAACACCCGCGGCCTTACGAAAAGAGGAGAAATATTTTGCGGGCTGGCGTCAGCCAGAGATAAAAACCAATGGTAGGTGTGAGGGATGCAGTGTGTGTGTGGGGTGGGGGGGTGTAGTGTGTGTGTGTGTGTGTGAGGGGTGTAGTGTATGTGTGTGAGAGGTGCAGTGTGTGTGTGACGGGTGTAGTGTGTGTGTATGGGAGGGCAGTGTGTGTATGGGGGCAGTGTGTGTGAGGGGTATAGTGTGAGTATGGGAGGGCAGTGTGTGTGTGGGTATGGGAACAATGTGTGTATGGGAGGGCAGTGTGTGTTTGGGGGGCAATGTGTGTGGGTTTGCAGTGTGTGTGGGGGGGGGGAGGGCAGTGTGTGTGTATGGGGGAGAATTATTGTGGATCTATGGGGTTGGAGGGTAGATTAATAATTATTTTTTTTATTAAAAATATATATATTTTGATATCCACCCTCCCTGCTTACCATTTCCTGGGAGGGGGTGTGGTGACATTCTGTCATCAAACTAATATGGTGACCAGGGGCCATGTGACCAAGCTCATGTATGCCTTTCTTACAGGGGGACAAGCTTTACCCTTTGATATGGTAATTGGGTAATTCAATACCTTTACAAGTCAGGAGAGCGATAACCACCTCCCCCTATCTCCATGCCTCTCTGTTCCTTCTTGGCTGTGCTGCAGAGCAGATGTGAAGACACCGTGTGCTAGCATGGTGAACCATGTTACACTCTGTTGCTTCCTTTTCTTCCTTGGTGGATGTGATGTTGAACTTGCAGCAGTGAGACATTACTAGATGTGAAGGCCTAACCGTGGGTGAGATCAAACGTGTGGGGTAGGGGATTACTATATAGATACTATATAGATAGATAGATTAAAAAGGGTTGTTGCTCCGTGGGTCTGGGCTGTGTGTTTGTGATAAATGTATAGTATTGTGTTGTTGCCTTCTAATAAATACCTTTTAATATAGACGAACCTTGTGTAATATATGTATAAATATGTATATTAATTTGGCGATTTACCACAGGGGGGACAGTACAAGGCAATCCCTGATGGTCCAAGTGGTAAGAATGAACTCCAGTAGCTCAGGCTAGAGTTCATTTTTGCAAGATTCGGAGCATTATTCATATGATCATAGCACCGGGGAAATATTTCACGGCAATTGTGTGCCTCACTCTGTAGCAGTATAGTCGAGAGAAAGCTTTCGTGGACCGGCAATACATTCTTGCCGTGACGGCCGTGGACCACCCGTTGATGCCACACCCACAGATCTCATTCTTTCAAGAGTACCACCTTCATCTGATCTCACTCCATTACAAACCATTTTGTACTATCCATCAGTTGTCTAATTTTTTTGTACTTCCTGTTTTCTTTGTTCTTTACTCCACCAGTCTGTTTTCCCTCTTACTCTCATTGTCAGACGTTTTTAGTCCTTCACTTTATCTCTTTTATGAATTTCCTGTCCCTTCAACCTTTTTTACATATCCATTCTCCTCTTCTTTCCAACCCCCGTACTGTCTCTCTTTTGCACTCATAATTAATCTTTCTTTCAAGTTTATGCCTGTTCTCTCCCGGTCTACCCAGCCAATACGTTCTCCTCCCATCTGCCCTTTTGAAACTTGTGCAAAAGTATAAAAGTCACTGGTGGAATTCAACAGCTGATTAATTTGGATTTCCATTGTGAATCTCTCACTTTTAGAACTTTGGACCACTTTTGGGTTCATCAGTCTGCTCACCTTTTATCCACCACTGTTATCTTTCCTAACCCTGGCATGCTGCCAATTGGTGATCCTGTTCTCCTGTTTCTTTTTATCATATGTCCCTTCAAGTCCTCTATCTCCTGGTTATTTGATTCCATCTATTTCCAGCCCCTCCATTTCTCACCCTTGCGGTTGTAACAATCCACAGCGTAGCAGCTGTGCTGGTTGCGAGATCGAGGACCAGTGTTCCTGCGTGGAGGAAGAATACGGCTGGGCATGGTGGCACTGCTACAGTTATAACACGGAGAGGCCACCCCAAACTGCGCGTGTCCTCTGCCAGAGAGTGGAAAAATCGAAAATTGTGAGATTCATGCTACATGACACAGTACAAAATTTAATTTGGGCAGATATAGAAAACGTTCTGTAAAAATGCTAGGTATTCTGCACGTCCTGGGCGTCGGATGATACAAATTCAACATCCACAGCATATATAATATTGCATTTTTAGATTCATAAACACAGGCACACAGATGTTGAAACACAAATACAGAAAAATTCCAAAAATTAATATGGTTATAGACAAATAAAGAGTGCAGTCATCCATGCATACAGATGCATGCACAAACACATTCTCACACACATGCACACACCTGCACACATGCATGCTTTTAGAAAATTGAGCAGCAAACACATGCAAATAATTAAATAAAGAGATATGCATGAGTATACACACACATACACACAAAGCAGCATATATATATATAAAAATATATATCATGAAATTTAAAAGACACAAACAATTAAGTTTTTGAACATTACAGTATATTTGAAGCATCAGCTAAGCACTCTTAGCCAATGAGCACGGCCCTGTATAGGGCAATTCTAAGATAAGGGAAGACATTCTAGTTCTAATGCAGACGTCTGTAGTGGTTATGCCTTGTGGAGTGACCCTTTAACATCCAAGAGTGCTGGCCTGTTCCACGGCAGGCAAAGTTATTTGGAAAGAACATCCTTAGATTAGCTTAACAAGACTAATTGATATATCTTACGTTACAATTGTTTGTTATGGTTTCTCTTGCTCCATCATTATAATGTTTAATTTAAAGGACCACTCTAGGCACCCAGACCACTTCAGCTTAATGAAGTGGTCTGGGTGCCAGGTCCTTCTAGGGTTAACCCATTTTTTTATAAACATAGCAGTTTCAGAGAAACTGCTATGTTTATAAATGGGTTAATCCTTCCCCTATCCTCTAGTGGCTGTCTCATTGACAGCCACTAGAGGCGCGCGTGATTCTCACTGTGAAAATCACAGTGAGCTTAGCGTCCATAGGAAAGCATTGTAAATGCTTTCCTATGTGACCGCAAGCGCGCAGCTCTTGCGCGCGCATTCAGCCCAGGAGGAGGAACGGAGGAGGATCGGAGGCAGAGAGCTCCCCGCCCAGCGCTGGAAAAAGGTAAGTTTTTAACCCTTTCCCCTTCCAGAGCCGGGCGGGAGGGGGTCCCTGAGGGTGGGGGCACCCTCAGGGCACTATAGTGCCAGGAAAACGAGTATGTTTTCCTGGCACTATAGTGGTCCTTTAACATGCATTACATTTTGTGGCTTTTCAAGCGTACCACATTTTAGCTATGATACTTTTTTAATATGTTCAACATTTGCTAACTCAACCGATTTTACTAACTTTAACTATTTTCTGTGCTGAATAAAACTTTTCAAAAGATTTTCAGAAAAATGAAACAAGCGCCATATGTGAACAGGTGTATTCTAAGAAATGATCTGATATAAACAGATCGACTGATTGCAGCTGCAAAAATACAAAACAAATAATGTATTGAAAAAACACTGTTTATATGTTTTCATTATTATTAAAACTCTGTTTCTATATTCATCACTAGTATCCACAAAGACACACTATACACCAATGCCAATCCACACACACACACACACAAAAATACTAGATTGGTCAAAATTGAAGAGACGATGCACAGAATCGAAGGGTAGTAGACGAGGACCACCACATGTGTCAAAAAGTTCTAAAGAAGAAAGAAGACAATGACAAAAGAAAAGTAGAAATGTAGGGAGTATAAGGTTGAAAGTAGGGGATGGATAGTAAATATTAAGTCTGAGTTTTACTTGAATGAACGGTTACAGGCCATGCACTGGAACTCAGCTATTCCCCACATCTTGTCTCGAGGAATCGGGTCAAACTTTCTCTTGCATCTGTGGCATTTGGAAACCTACAAATATGACATGAAAACATTGTTGGAACACACACTCTGGCTTTGATTTCTTCTCTGTGAGTTATTATTATTATTATTATTATTATTGGTATTTACATAGTGCCAGCTTAGTCCGCAGTGTTTCATATTAAAAGGGGAATTTAACATATGAGACAATAACATATGTTACAGGAACAATAGGTAGATGAGCACCCTGCTCAAACGAGCTTACAGCCTAGAGGAGGTGGGGCATAGAACACAAAACGAAGAAGTTAGCATAACACATACAGAGCACAACCTATTTCTCAGCACAACTACCATTTATAAGTATGGGTTGAATATCACCACAAACCTGCTTTCTCTCCGGAACCCTACGCCACCACATTTTATCACAATCCTTGCAGGCAAACTGTCTGTCTTCAGAAGGAATGCAGTTCACAGACGCATTATCAAACATTTTTAAATTCCTCTCGGTTAGAGGAAGTTGTTTCAATTGCCTGGCAATGTCCTAGAGCCAAGAAATGTTTATACAATTATCAACAAGTTGATGGCATCGCAAAGTGAATTAAAGTGATATAAATGAGATAAAGCATGCACCCAACACCCAGGCTGTGTCACACTATCACCTACAGATAGTGTGAGGAAATTTCATATCTCATATAGCCCCTCTGTTTGCATCACTCTTTGATGGACTTGATAGACCCCATATCCCATAAATCCCTTCTCTCTGTGTCACCCTGTGGTTGAAGATAGAAACTCCATGCCCCACAGATCTCTCCTTCCAATGTCAAATAACAGCGAGAGTAAAAACTTTCATGTAATATAATTTCAATTTCATTTCAGTCAAGCAAAAAATTAAAAACTTACCTAGGATCTGCTTTTAGGATCTTAAGGGAACACAATAGGGTCAGGAACACAAACATGTATTCCTGTCCCTACAGTGTTAAAACCACCACCATCTGCCCCCCACCTCCCATGCCCATCATTTGCCTCCCTAAATATAGTAAAATCTTACTTGTATTCAAGTCTGCAGCGACCTGCCTGCTGTCTGCTGAAATCGGAAGTGATGGTCTGGGCTAATCACAAGGTAAAGCCAGCACAAGTCCAACACAGCCCTAGCCAATGCATCTCTATGAGGAAAGTTCAGTGTCTGCATGCAGAGGGTGGAGACATTGAATGGATGTGCTGCTCACTGTGCAGCACTGCCCCAGGAAGCACATATAGCAGCCATCTGAGGAGTGGCCAGTGGAGATATCACTAGGCTGTAATGTAAACACTGCATTTTCTCTGAAAAGACAGTGTTTACAGCAAAAAAGGGATGATTATAATCACCTGAACAAATACAATAAGCTATAGTTGTTCTGGTGACTATAGTGTCCCTTTAACATCAATAAATGGCAAAGCACAATAACTCACAGCCACAATAGAAGGTGAACTTTACCTTGATGTCATTGTCTGTCGTTGTCTGTATCTATAGAGATAGATAATAATTTCATAAACATAAAAGCTTCTTTAATCATGGATATTAACAACACAGAGAAAAACAAGAAAAAACTTACAAAAAACCTACTTACCTGTGGTGTGGTGTCATTGTTAATATTGTTAATGACATTCTAGAAAAATAAAATTTTAGAATTTTAGAAGTATTATTAACCCTTCTATCCAGTAATATACCCTGCTGCTCCTAGTACACTATACAAAGGGCAGCACGGTATACTCCAAACCATCAATTGCAGACCATTCTAAGCTCTAACACAGAACTGCCCTACACAATAACACTTTCTATCCCATAAGGAACATTTCTTATCCATGCACTCTCTTCTCCATATCAAATCCTATTGACTTTTCCATCACATAACAAACAATGTTGGCCTTATAATTTATGATATTACTGCTTATTTCACCCTTTCTATCCCATGCCATAACCTTCTGCCCTATGCTACCCCTTCTTCCCCATGCCATAACCTTCAACCTTATACTACCAATCAGCCTCATTCCTCATCCTCCTGCTCTATGTTACCAATCTTTCCCATGCCATTACCTCCTGCCCTATACTACCCATCTTCCCCATGCCACAGCCTGCTGCCCTATGATATCCATCTGCCCCATGCCATAGTCTACTGTCCTATGCTATCAATCTTCCCCATGCCATAACCTGCTGCCCTATGATACCCATCTTCCCCATGCCATAGTCTCCTGCACTATGCTATCTATCTGCCCCATGCCATAGCCTCCTGTACTATGCTTCCCTTCTTCCCCATGCCATAGCCTACTGCCCTATGCTATCCTTCTTCCCCATGCCATAGCCTCCTGCCTTATGCTGTTGGAGAAAGTCTCACTGTGCATCTGACCTTCTCCACAATACATTTATGCTGCATTCATACAGCTTGGTTCTTTCCTCTGCAAAAGTAAATTACTTCAATACCCTCATAACCACACTTTCCCGCAAACCCAAAAGACTATTTCACACATTTAACTCTCTTCTTCACCCTATTCTTCCTCCTCCACCTACTAACTTGACTGCCTCAGACTTTGAAATTCACTTCACTGACTGGATCTCTACAATCAGCAAAGAGATCTCTTATCGTTCTTCTTCCCCTTACAATACTTCCCCTAACCTCACTCCCTCTGCTGTTCTATGTTCATTCACACCCGCTACAGCGGAAGAGGTTTCTGCTCTGCTCCAGTCCTCCTGCCCCACCACCTGCTCCCTAGATCCAAATCCCTCACATCTCATCCGTACTCTGTCTTCTTCTCTTCCTCTCTTGCAACTGTCATTTGTGTCACTTTACCCCCCTCCCTCTAGCATGTAAGCTCATTGAGCAGGGCCCTCAATCCCTCTGTTCCTGTGTGTCCAACTTGTCTAGTTACAACTACATGTTTGTTCGTAAAGCGTTGCGGAATTTGTTGGCGCTATATAAAAAATAACATAATAATAATAATATGCTATCCATTTCCCCCATGCCATAGCCTCCTGCCTTATGCTTCCCTTCTTCCCCATGCCATACCCTACTGCCCTATGCTATCCATCTTCCCCATGCCATAGCCTCCTGCCCTACGCAATCCATCTTCCCCATGCCATACCCTCCTGCCCTAGCTGACCTATGCAATCCATCTTCCCCAGGCCATAGCGTCCAGCCCTATGTTAACCTTTCTCCCCATGTCATAACCTTTTGCCCTATGCTATCAATCTTCCCCATGCCATAAGCTCCTGCCCTGTGCTACCCATCTTCCCCATGCCGTATCCTTCTGACCCTGGCTCCCCCTCTCCCCCTGCAATAACTTTCTAACACATGCTTCCCCTTCTCCATGTCATAACCTTCTGCCATTTGCAGCATTCCATATAATTGTTGTCTTTCTAACCTATAAAAATAGTTGCCATTGAGCTGCCACCTCTATCCCATAACAAACATTGCTCCCACTTCTATCCCATAACAATTACTGGTGTCAGCTCTACCCATAACACGCAATTTTCTGCTTCCATTATATCCCTTTACACAGATTTGTGAATAATGGCCCCTTCTGCCACATTTCAATGGGCAGTCCCTTCTACCCCATACAACATTTTTTTTACACCTTCTACCCCATAATATACTTTACTGTGTCCATACTTTCAAAAAAAACACTGCTGCCTTTTCTAACCTATAATAAGGATGCCTTCCTTAGTACCAGATAAAAATCTTTGCTGCCCCTATAACCGATAACAAGTATTGCTGTACCTATCGCCGATAACAAGTATTGCTGCCCCTTTACCTGATAACAAGTATTGCTGCCCCTATAACCAATAACAAGTATTGCTGCCCCTATAATTGATTACAAATATTGCTGCCCCTTTAACCAATAACAAATATTGCTGCCCCTATCGCGAAAACAAGTATTGCTGCCCCTTTAACCAATAACAAATATTGCTGCCCCTATCGCGAAAACAAGTATTGCTGCCACTTTACCTGATAACAAGTATTGCTGCCCCTATAACCAATAACAAGTATTGCTGTCCTTATAGCCGATAACAAGTATTGCTGCTCCTTTACCTGATAACAAGTATTGCTGCCCCTATAACCATTAACAAGTATTGCTGCCCCTTTAACCGATAACAAGTATTGCTGCCCCTTTAACCGATAACAAGTATTGCTGCCCCTTTACCTGATAACAAGTATTGCTGCCCCTTTACCTGATAACAAGTATTACTGCCGCTATAACCAATAACAATTATTGCTGCCCCTTTAACCGATAACAAGTATTGCTGCCCCTATAATTGATTACAAATATTGCTGCCCCTTTAACCAATAACAAATATTGCTGCCCCTTTAACCAATAACAAATATTGCTGCCCCTATCGCGAAAACAAGTATTGCTGCCACTTTACCTGATAACAAGTATTACTGCCGCTATAACCAATAACAAGTATTGCTGCCCCTTTACCTGATAACAAGTATTGCTGCCGCTATAGCCGATAACAAGTATTGCTGCCCCTTTATCTGATAACAAGTATTGCTGCCCCTACAGCTGATAACAAGTATTGCTGCCCCTATAGTTGATAACAAGTATTGCTGCCCCTATAACCATTAACAAGTATTGTTGCCCCTTTACCTGATAACAAGTATTGCTGCCCCTATAGTCGATAACAAGTATTACTGCCCCTATAGTCGATAACAAGTATTGCTGCCCCTTTAACCGATAACAAGCATTGCTGCCCCTTTACCTGATAACAAGTATTGCTGCCCCTATAACCAATAACAAGTATTGCTGCCCCTTTACCTGATAACAAGTATTGCTGCCCCTATAGCCAATAACAAGTATTGCTGCCCCTATAGCCGATAACAAGTATTGCTGCCCCTTTACCTGATAACAAGTATTGCTGCCCCTATTGTCGATAACAAGTATTGATGCCCCTTTACCTGATAACAAGTATTTCTGTCCCTATAGTCCAGTGATGGCGAACCTATGGCATGCGTGCCACAGGTGGCACGCCAGGCCCTCTCTGTGGGCACGCGGCCTTAGGTCGCTGGGAGAGGGGGTCGCTGGCTGTCTGCAGCGTAGGCACCTGCCTGCCCGAAACGTCAGGTGCCTACTCTGCTTCCGGGTCGGGAGGCAGGGGGAGGGCTCTAGGAAGCACCTCTCCTGTACTCCTGCAAGCAAGCTGTGTGGAGCGTTGCCGCACGTTACCATGGGCGCGTGCCCACATCGCGCGGGAGGATAGGAGAGCTGCTTCCTACAATACCTACCACCACCTGACCACCAGGGATGGCTGTGTCCCCTCTCCTTCCCCAAAGGTAAGAGGAAGGGAGGGGGGATACAGAATTAATATAACTTTTTTTTTTTAAATGTATCTTTACCCCTACCCCACACAGCACAGCACCACTACCCCACACAGCACTGCACCCCTACACAGCACCCCTACCCCCACAGCACCCCTCCCCACAGGACCCCTACCCCCAAAGCACCCTACCCCCAAAGCACAGCTCCCCTACCCCCACACAGCACAGCACCCCTCCCCCACACACAGCACCCCTACCCCCCACGCACAGCACCCCTACCCCCACAGCACAGCACCCCTACCCCCACACACAGCACCCCTACCCCCACAGCACAGCACCCCTAACCCCTACCCCGACACAGCACATCACCCCTACCCCACAGAGCACATCACCCCTACCCCGCACACACACAGCACCCCTACCCACCACACACACACAGCACCCCCACACACAGTACCCCCACACACACAAACAGCACCCCTCAGACACACACACAGCACTCCACACCCTTACATACAAACACATACACTGCACCCCTCAATGCAGTATGTATGTGTATATTCAGCAGTCTGTGTCTGTGTGTGTGTATTCAGCAGACTGTGTGTACTCAGCAGTCTGTGTGTGTGTGTGTGTGTATATATTCAGCAGTCTCTGTGTGTGTGTATTCAGCAGTATGTGTGTGTGTGTATTCAGCAGTCTGGGTGTGTATATTCAGCAGTCTCTGTGTGTGTGTGTATTCAGCAGTCTGTGTGTGTGTATGTATTCAGCAGATTGTGTGTATGTACTCAGCAGTGTATGTATTCAGCAGTCTGTGTGTGTGTATTCAGCAGTCTGTATGTGTATTCAGCAGTCTGTCTGTATGTGTATTCAGCAGTCTGTCTGTCTGTATGTATTCAGCAGTCTGTCTGTGTGTATGTATTCAGCAGTCTGTGTGTGTGTGTGTGTGTGTGTGTGTGTATGTATTCAGCAGTGTGTGTATTCAGCAGTCTGTGTGTAATCAGCAGTCTTTGTGGGTGTGTTGAGCAGTCTGTGTGGGTGGGATCAGCAGTCTGTGTGTGTGTGTATTCAGCAGTCTGTGTGTATGTATTCAGCAGTTTGTGTGTGTATGTATTCAGCAGTCTGTGTGTGTATGCATTCAGCAGTCTGTGTATGTATTCAGCAGTCTGTGTGTACTCAGCAGTGTGTGTATGTATTCAGCAGTCTGTGTGTGTACACTCAGTAGTGTATGTATTCAGCAGACTGTGTGTGTGTATTCAGCAGTGTATGTATTCAGCAGTCTGTGTGTGTGTACTCAGCAGTCTGTGTGTGTGTGTGTGTGTGTGTGTATGTATTCAGCAGTCTCTGTGTACTCATCAGTGTGTGTGTATTCAGCAGTCTGTGTGTGTGTATGTACTCAGCAGTCTGTGAGTGTGTGTACTCAGCAGTCTGTGTGTGTGTGTGTACTCAGCAGTGTATGTATTCAGCAGACTGTGTGTGTGTATTCAGCATTGTATGTATTTAGCAGTCTGTGTGTACTCAGCAGTCTGTCTGTATGTGTATTCAGCAATCTGTCTGTGTGTGTATTTAGCGGACTGCGTGTGTATTTAGCGGATGGTGTGTGTATGTATTTAGCAGCCGGTGTGTGTGTGTATTTAGCAGACGGTGTGTGTGTGTATTTAGCGGATGGTGTGTGTGTATTTAGCAGTCGGTGTGTGAATGTGTTCAGCATCTGTGTGTATGTATTGCATTTGTTGGAGATACTAATAAATATAAGCTTAATTTTATCTATTTATATCATCATTTAAAATTTGTATCATTGAACTCTCTGTTGTGTTCTTCTTTTAAAACAAAAGTTGTTAATTAGTTCGGACAACTGTACGAGTAGTTTTTTTTCTAAACTTAAACCTCAGTATTCAGGTTTAATTGCCATGTTGACACTTTGAGGGAAAAAAAAGTTGGCATGTATTGTGGTTTGGGCACTCGGGCTCAAAAAAGTTTGCCATCACTGCTATAGTCGATAACAAGTCTTACTGCCCCTATAGTCGATAACAAGTATTGCTGCCCCTTTAACCGATAACAAGTATTGCTGCCCCTATCGCCGATAACAAGTATTGCTGCCCCATTACCTGATAACAAGTATTGCTGCCCCTATAACCAATAACAAGTATTGCTGCCCCTATAGCCGATAACAAGTATTGCTGCCCCTTTACTTGATAACAAGTATTGCTGCCTCTATAGTCGATAACAAGTATTTCTGCCCCTTTACCTGATAACAAGTACTTCTGTCCCTATAGTCGATAACAAGTATTGCTGCCCCTTTACCTGATAACAAGTACTTCTGTCCCTATAGTCGATAACAAGTATTGCTGCCCCTTTAACCAATAACAAGTATTGCTGCCCCTACAGCCGATAACAAGTATTGCTGCCCCTTTACCCGATAACAAGTATTGATGCCCCTATAGCCGACAACAAGTATTGCTGCCCCTTTAACTGATAACAAGTATTGCTGCCCCTATTGTCTATAACAAGTATTGATGCCCCTTTACCTGATAACAAGTATTGCTGCCCCTATAGTCGATAACAAGTATTGCTGCCCCTATAGCCAATAACAAGTATTGCTGCCCCTTTACCTGATAACAAGTATTTCGGTCCCTATAGTCGATAACAAGTATTGCTGCTCCTTTAACCGATAACAAGTATTGCTGCCCCTATCGCCGATAACAAGTATTATTGCCCCATTACCTGATAACAAGTATTGCTTCCTCTATAACCAATAACATGTATTGCTGCCCCTATAGCCAATAACAAGTATTGCTGCCCCTTTACCTGATAACAAGTATTGCTGCCCCTATAACCAATAACAAGCATTGCTGCCCGTTTACCTGATAACAAGTATTGCTGCCCCTATAACCAATAACAAGTATTGCTGCCCCTATAACCAATAACAAGCATTGCTGCCCCTTTACCTGATAACAAGTATTGCTGCCCCTATAACCAATAACAAGCATTGATGCCCCTTTATCTGATAACAAGTATTGCTGCCCCTATAACCAATAACAAGTATTACTGTCCCTTTACCTGATAACAAGTATTGCTGCCCCTATAGCCGATAACAAGTATTGCTGCCCCTTTACCTGATAACAAGTATTGCTGCCCCTATAGCCGATAACAAGTATTGCTGCCCCTTTACCTGATAACAAGTATTGCTGCCCTTATAGCCGATAACAAGTATTACTGCCCCTTTATCTGATAACAAGCATTGCTGCCCCTTTACCTGATAACAAGTATTGCTGCCCCTATAGCCGATAACAAGTATTGCTGCCCCTTTACTTGATAACAAGTATTGCTGCCTCTATAGTCGATAACAAGTATTTCTGCCCCTTTACCTGATAACAAGTATTTCTGTCCCTATAGTCGATAACAAGTATTGCTGCCCCTTTAACCGATAACAAGTATTGCTGCCCCTATCGCCGATAACAAGTATTGCTGCCCCTTTACCTGATAACAAGTATTGCTGCCCCTATAACCAATAACAAGTATTGCTGCCCCTACAGCCGATAACAAGTATTGCTGCCCCTTTACCCGATAACAAGTATTGATGCCCCTATAGCCGACAACAAGTATTGCTGCCCCTTTAACTGATAACAAGTATTGCTGCCCCTATTGTCTATAACAAGTATTGATGCCCCTTTACCTGATAACAAGTATTGCTGCCCCTATAGTCGATAACAAGTATTGCTGCCCCTATAGCCAATAACAAGTATTGCTGCCCCTTTACCTGATAACAAGTATTTCGGTCCCTATAGTCGATAACAAGTATTGCTGCTCCTTTAACCGATAACAAGTATTGCTGCCCCTATCGCCGATAACAAGTATTATTGCCCCATTACCTGATAACAAGTATTGCTTCCTCTATAACCAATAACATGTATTGCTGCCCCTATAGCCAATAACAAGTATTGCTGCCCCTTTACCTGATAACAAGTATTGCTGCCCCTATAACCAATAACAAGCATTGCTGCCCGTTTACCTGATAACAAGTATTGCTGCCCCTATAACCAATAACAAGTATTGCTGCCCCTATAACCAATAACAAGCATTGCTGCCCCTTTACCTGATAACAAGTATTGCTGCCCCTATAACCAATAACAAGCATTGATGCCCCTTTATCTGATAACAAGTATTGCTGCCCCTATAACCAATAACAAGTATTGCTGCCCCTTTACCTGATAACAAGTATTGCTGCCCCTATAACCAATAACAAGCATTGCTGCCCCTTTACCTGATAACAAGTATTGCTGCCCTTATAGCCGATAACAAGTATTACTGCCCCTTTATCTGATAACAAGCATTGCTGCCCCTTTACCTGATAACAAGTATTGCTGCCCCTATAGCCGATAACAAGTATTGCTGCCCCTATCGCCGATAACAAGTATTATTGCCCCATTACCTGATAACAAGTATTGCTTCCTCTATAACCAATAACATGTATTGCTGCCCCTATAGCCAATAACAAGTATTGCTGCCCCTTTACCTGATAACAAGTATTGCTGACCTTATAGCCGATAACAAGTATTACTGCCCCTTTATCTGATAACAAGTATTGCTGCCCCTATAACCAATAACAAGCATTGCTGCCCCTTTACCTGATAACAAGTATTGCTGCCCCTATAACCAATAACAAGTATTGCTGCCCCTTTATCTGATAACAAGTATTGCTGCCCCTATAGCCGATAACAAGTATTGCCTATAATACGATAACAAGTATTGCTGCCCTTTACCTGATAACAAGTATTTGCTGCCCTTATGGCCGATAACAAGTATTACTGTCGCACATCTGATAACAAGTATTGCTGCCCCTTTACCTGATAACAAGTATTGCTGACCTTATAGCCGATAACAAGTATTACTGCCCCTTTATCTGATAACAAGTATTGCTGCCCCTTTACCTGATAACAAGTATTGCTGCCCTTATAGCCGATAACAAGTATTACTGTCCCTTTATCTGATAACAAGTATTGCTGCCCCTATAGCCGATAACAAGTATTGCTGCCCCTTTACCTGATAACAAGTATTGCTGCCCCTATAGCCGATAACAAGTATTGCTGCCCCTTTACCTGATAACAAGTATTGCTGCCCCTATAACCATTAACAAGCATTGCTGTCCCTTTACCTGATAACATGTATTGCTGCCCCTATAATTGATTACAAATATTGCTGCCCCTATCGCCGATAACTAGTATTGCAGCCTCTTTACCTGATAACAAGCCCTACTGGCCCTTTAGTTAACAAGCCTTTTCTTAATAAATAGCCTTCACCCCTTAAAACGCTTTAGTCCTCTAAAAACAGCACTGCTCCTTCTGCCCTATACAATAACACTGCTGCCCTTTCCGTCATTATTATTATTATTATTTATATAGCGCCATCAGATTCCGTAGCACTGTACAATGGGGATAACACTATAACCCTTTCTGCTATCTCTAGTCTGTAACAAATACTTTTCTACTACATAAAAGATTTCTACACCAAAACAATTGCCCCTGTCCTTTACCCCAATGATAATCACTAATGCCCCTTTACACCATGATAAACACTGCTGCCCCCTTTACCCCATGGTAAACACTGCTTCCTTTCTGAAAAGAAAAACTTGTGCTACTCCTTCCACCCATCACTAAAATGATGCCCTTTCCACATTATACTGCCCCTTTTATCCTATAACAAACATGTATTTATAATATTACTCATTGAACATGTGCACTTGTTGCACTCTCTCTTAAAGGACCACTCTAGGCACCCATACCACTTCAGCTTAATGAAGTGGTCTGGGTGCGAGGTCCAGCTAGGGTTAACCCATTTTTTAATAAACATAGCAGTTTCAGAGAAACTGCTATGTTTATTAATGGGTTAAGCCTTCCCCCAAAGCCTCTAGTGGCTGTCTCATTGACAGCCACTAGAGGCGTGTGCGTGCTTCTCACTGTGATTTTCACAGTGAGAGCACGCCAGCGTCCATAGGAAAGCATTGTAAATGCTTTCCTATGCGACCGGCTGAATGCGCGCGCAGCTCTTGCCGCGTGTGCACATTCAGCCGACGGGGAGGAGAGAAGGAGGATCGGAGGAGGAGAGCTCTCCGCCCAGCGCTGGAAAAAGGTAAGTTTTACCCCCTTTCCCCTTTCCAGAGCCGGGCGGGAGGGGGTCCCTGAGGGTGGGGGCACCCTCAGGGCACTATATTGCCAGGAAAACAAGTATGTTTTCCTGGCACTATAGTGGTCCTTTAAACAAATTGATTTGTTTAACGACTCGTCCATAATGGAACCCCTTCCGATTCGTTGTTGGACTGATCACTCAATTAAAAAAACTAAAGAGGTTCTAAGTCAGCCAAATCGATTAATTGCCAAATGAAATAAATACTTTTGCCCCTTCTACAAACTAATAAACAATGTTGTATATATCTTACCATTGCAGCAATGTCATTTCTTAAACTGTTAATCTCGTCAGGACCAATAGCTAGATAAAAAATACATACAGTATTACTCAGCAGGGCAGCTGGATACATGTCGATAGAGTACAGAGAACAACAGAGTATGTCAGAGAGTGGAGCAAAAGGTACAACATTGTCTCTGCATGAAGGTAGAAATGGTAGTAATGTTTTAGAGTAGCAGTGCTTTTTAGGGGACGCAATATGTGTTTGGGGTAGAAGGAGCTGAGCTGGACTTATTTGTTTTTACGATATGGAATCGATAGGAGTTCCACACCACTTTTTCCCCAATTCCCAGAGGATTAAACCAGAAAAATAAAACCCTATGGGTATAATTACAAGGGTGGCTTACAAACTCCCTCATGCCTTAGCCTGTCGACTCCGGGCACGTCCACTAAACAGGGAGAAGCCAGTGGCTGCTCAATGTCATAAAAGATTATATTGTCATAATACAATATAAAGGATTTTGTCTGGAAAGCCATGACTTTATTGGGCATGTCCCGTTATTTAACCTACGTCGCTTGCATCGTGACTGGTGTAAGACTTCCAGCCACCTTCTTCCTGAAAGACTATATTACCCTTCCAGGCTGTACTCTTACCACCATTAGCCGGGGTAGCCCAAATCATTGCCCCAGGGACTTTCACAACAGAGAGTGCCTGACTGGCAGCTACTCAAATATCACGTGGAACTATAGATCAGATCGTGGGTGTGCCACAGTCTGATCAAACGTCATCAAGGTAGTCGTCGGCCCCAAGACCACCAAACAGATTTCTTTTTGGAAGGGGCATCAGGGAGGCAGAAGTACATAAAACGACACGTTGGACTTAAGAGAGCTCCCATTCACAGACCCGCTAAAAGCTAGACTAGGTCTGGATTTGAGAATAGCCGCAGCCTGGTAAAACTCTGGCACGGATTAATCGATAACGTTGCTTTTTGGACAGTATGGGCATGCGGTCACCAGCTTTAAAATTGTGTATAGCATGAGAGGATATGTCAGGGCTTGACAAATTTGTTTGGAATCTAGGAGCCAGCAAATAAAGTTAGGAGCCAGGCTTTTCAATGTAAAATATGCAATTCTTAAAGGGACGCTATAGTTATCAGAACCACTAAAGCTTATTGTATAGTATACAGCTTAATGTAGTTGTTCTTGTGTCTATAACCTGTCCCTGCACATTTTTCCGCTGCAGTTTCTTTCCTGATTAAAACTGCATAGGAAGGAAAAGTTGCAATGCTTTTCTCATTCTATGCAATTTCAGGCAGAGCACTCTGGTCTTTGGCTTGTCCCCCTGTTTTTATAATTAGAGACCCCAACTGGGGGGCTGTGAGGACAACGACTGTCAACCATTCCACAGGATTTTATTACGCACTGAACTAAGCGTCTTAGTAATTAACCCATTGTGGGGAGGAAGTGGCGGTAGCTCCCTTCTTGTAATTGGAGAAATACCGAATGGACATAGACGAATTGTTGTTCATGTTCATTTTGTTTTCCGGTCATTTCAGCTTTACTGCAAATATCTTAGCAGCCTTGTTACAAGAGGAAAACTCTCAGCCTATGAAGAACTATCTTGCAGGAACTTCCCGTATCCAGCTGGACATATCCACTCAGTTGACCAAAGTTCCCTTGCAAAGTGGAGAAGTATATTCAGGAACTAACAGTCCATGTCTACCTGGTGGTCCCTTGAATCCTGTATAATGCCCACCGACCTGGTGACAGCCCCTAAACCTTTAAGGACCATGTACCAAACTATTATAGAGGCATGCCATGAAGAAGCAGTTGTATTTATGAACCTAGAAAATGCACTAGTATATGAAATAGGGATCGAGAAGATGAAGTGTTTGTTTTGGGCTTTATAGGACAGAATTATATTTTATGGATAAAAGGGGGAGAGGTGTTTTTAATGATGTAGGAGGATGAGAATCCATTGTGTATATCAGAGACTAGAAGGGACTAGAAGGGACAAAGCAAAGCTCTTACCATCAAGTTCATCCTTGCACATAACGATGTATCGACACACTTGGTCGTGGTTGTTAACAAAATTTCTCATTAGCAAAACTGCCTTCTCCACTGAAATTTTGCCATAAAATTTCTCTCGCAAGCGGCGAACACTTTTCTCCAGCTAGACAAGAAAAATAAACTACCATGAGAGATGATATATGTAAAGCAAATAAAACATAAAATTGACACATATTACAGACAAGTATTACGGGCAATAATGAGAGAAGATTTGCATGAAGTTAAGTTTATATTGATCCTATTATATGATACAGTATAGGGGGAAAGGTGATACGGAGTAATAGGAGGAGTTATAGGGAGAGGTTATATGGAGTAATAGGAGGAGTTATAGAGAGAGGTTATATGGAGTGATAGGAGGAGTTATATGGAGAGGTTATATGGAGTTATAGGAGGAGTTATAGGGAGAGGTTATATGGAGTAATAGGAGGAGTTATAGAGAGAGGTTATATGGAGTAATAGGAGGAGATATAGGGAGAGGTTATATGGAGTAATAGGAGGAGTTATAGGGAGGTTATATGGAGTAATAGGAGGAGTCATAGGGAGAGGTTATATGGAGTAATAGAAGGAGTTATAGGGAGAGGTTATATGGAGTAATAGGAGGAGTTATAGGGAGAGGTTATACAGAGTAATAGGAGGAGTTATAGGGAGAGGTTATATGGAGTAATAGGAGGAGTTATAGAGAGAGGTTATATGGAGTAATAGGAAGAGTTATAGGGAGAGGTTATATGGAGTAATAGAAGGAGTTATAGGGAGAGGTTATATGGAGTTATAGGAGGAGTTATAGGGAGAGGTTATACAGAGTAATAGGAGGAGTTATAGAGAGAGGTTAAATTGAGTAATAGGAGGAGTTATAGGGAGAGCTTATATGATGTTATAGGAGTTACATGGGAACAATATGTAGTAATAAAAAAACTATAATGCTTTATTTTATCGGCAAAGTGGCCATCACAATAACTGTCTTTATAAAAGCATTAAAAAATTGCTCCAATCTTTTGAGGGGGGGGACCTTTTCAGTGTAATATTACCTATTGGGCATTGTGATATAGGTCCTCGCCCTTCTGTTGTCAGTAAACTCCGCAAAAATAAGCATTTTACTTACCTGGAATCCAATGCTGTGTGAAGCTCCCAAGTCTGACTACAACACCTCCCTCTGACGTGATATAGGCCTCACACAGTCCAATCACAGGCATCACAGGCGTCTCATAGAGCGAAGGGGTGAGGAAGGAGGGGAGGGAAATTTAAGAAATAATAAAAAAAAGAAATAAAAGTAGAGCAGCAAGTGCCGGCAGGTAAAGAGTGAGGGGCTGGAAAACTATCTTCTCCTTGAAGAATTGACATTAGTGACTAACCCTGTATGTCTGTAGGCCTGGCAACATGGTAAGTACTTTATTTATTTTGGGTCCATTTATTGCTGCAAAAAAAAAAAAAGGTAAATAAAATGGGTAAATAAGTAAATTTAATTGTGTGCTGGGTGCTAGTTGCACCCCCAGGACACGTGACATTAGCAGCCCAGAACTCTGCCACAGCACACAATTAGATTTATTTCTGTATGTGCAATGTTTCAAACAGAAACACTGCACATATTGACTACTACCACCATGACTTCAAATCACTAAAGTGGTCATCGTGGTTAGAGTAACACTTCAAAGGCAAACTGCAACTGTTTTATTTTTATTTATTTTTTCAGCCATTATCCAAACACAAGTCACTCTGACTGACCTGGCCATTGCCTGCTAACACATGATGTTATCTGACATAACTGAATTTGGAGTCCTGTCTCTGATTGGGGGAATCTGCTACAAGGGATTGCTATGCTGTGCATATTCCCTTGCTATAATCACTCCTAAGCTCTTGTAAGAGCTTGTTCCTGTCTTGCTCTCTGAAGGAGTCTACGGTGGTTATGGTGTCTGCTGGAGTGCTTGGAGCCCTCAGGAAGCACTAGGAGCATCCTTCAATGGAGGTACCCAATCGGGGTGCCAGGTGATCCGTTACAGTCTATGTTTGGGCGAAGATTTGGTGGACCTTTTTTCTAGTACAGGTTTTTCCCCGTAGTAATACCTCTCCCGAAAATAAGCCCTAGTGCGTTTTTCGGGGGAAAATTAATATAAGGTCTTATTTAAAGAGACATCGGCGCTGGATTCAGGTAAGTGGCTGAATGGGTTTTAAAACCTTGAGCCCCCTTTGAAACCTATAGCGCCAGTAAAATGGCTTTGTTTTCCTGGCACTAAAGGATCACTTTAAAGGTTGACTGGGTGAAAATCAAGAGAGATTAGTTCACAAACATCTGGGTTGCCAAGGTTAGTCATCTCAAATGAATTGGTTTATCGTAACATTGGTACTTTTTATTGCAAGTGACATTTTTTTATCTTGCCAGTAAACCATTTTAGCAGCTTAGTGTAATTTTTTTCTAGGCACTGATACTGTGCTCTGCAGAAAATGTACCTATTTTTTTTAGAGCAATAAATTGAACCAAAATAACAATACTTACAGAGTTATTCACTAAAGTAAGAATTAGGCGTGAATTTAAAAATTAGGGTCAAAATAGTCAAAATGGAAAAATCATCTAAGACCGCTATGTCTCTGCGTCAGCTACTTTACCCTTGAATTTAAAATTCACTTTGAATTTTAAGAAAAAAAAAAATTGGATTGACCAAGAAACGGGGGGAGTTTCGTAGTCAAATGGCACCATACCTTCTACACTGAAATGTAGTGGTTATGGTGCTATTCTCAATGCAGCTGTTTCAAAATATTTTTTTTTTTTAAAGTTTGCATTTAAGATATTATTATCTATGGGCAGGTTTATTCTTAAACAGATATTTTATTTCATGGTAGATTCCTCAATGATAAATTGTTACTTTGTAAACATTTTCCTGTACCTAATGGAAGGTATTTTGCCGGGATTGCATTGACGTGGTACTGTTATTTTTCTTTTCTTCAGTTTCCTTTTCGTTACGCCCCCTTTACCTTAATGATTACACTGCCTCCATTGGCACTTGTCTTAATGTATACAGTACTTATCTTTTCTCCCTTCAGTCAGATCGCAATATCTGGGTGCAGCCATATTGTTTACCTCTGCCCTTTATGTCTGCTGTTTGCTCTTCTGTAGAATTGATTTTACTGATTTTAGAACATTTGGTTAAGTTCCATACATTGTCAAATTTTGTCAACTTGACCACTGTGCATAAGGAAAAAGTAGTCCCAACTTTTGTTTTTTGTATTTTATGAAAACTGAACACTCGGGAACAAAAAATGTTTTAGACACAGGGAGCAGATCTGATGCAGATCTGATGTAGTTTATTTTTTTGGTGACAAATCCACTTTAATTAAAACCATTACTGCAAGAATTGTATTTTCCAAATGTCAAGCACCATTTGAGTGACACTGTGATACATTGCACTGTTAAAAGTGCTGTGTCACTACTTTGACATTCAAAAATGGGACTATATGCATTATTTTAAGTGATATCTGCATTCAAGATGCGGTGAAGTCATACTCCCATCAGGCTCAGTTAGGCGAAGCCTGGCTAAGTATGCTGGGTGGTACAGTCAGCAATGTCCGTGGGCATTAGAGAATGAACATATATGCCTAGAATACTCAATACCTTCGTACACTGTGCTGTAATCATCCATGCCATTTAAATTTGTCAGAACAAAGTGCTCTCTACTACTGTGTTCCAACTCCCACAATAGGCAGCTATCACTTTCCCTAGAGTAATGAACAACCAGTTAAAGGGACACTATAGTCACAGCTTAATATAGTTGTTCTGGTGAGTATAGTCAGTACCTACAGGCTTTTGGCAGTAAACACTGTCTTTTCAGCCTAGTGACACGTCCAGTGGCCACTCCTCAGATGGCCACTACAGGTGCTTCCTGAGGCAGTGATGCACAGTGTGAAGCACTGACATTCAATGTCTCCACAGTCTGCATGGAGACATTGAACTTTCCTCATAGAGATGCATTTATTCAATACATCTCTATGAATAGATTCTGATTGGCCAGGGTGGCCCAGCCCGCCTCCTTAGCTGAGATTACCGGAACTGAGAATCTGATGATGTCAGCCAAGGAGGCAGATCGGGCCAGAGCCAGCACCAGCAAACAGGATTAAAGGTAAGATTTTACTATTTTTAGGGGGGCTAGATAGTGTTTTTAACACTATAGGGTCAGAAATACATGTTTGTGTTCCTGACCGTATAGTGTTTCTTTAATAATAAAATTAACTTCCACTTCCTTGCCGAGCCAAGCATATTTAATATTAGCACTATCTCACCATTATAACTGTGCTAATTATTTCATGCATGAAATAGTTGATTTGTTTCAATGGCAACTGTTGTAAATTGTGCACTTTGCCCTTCTTTATCTTGAGTCAATTTATCTTTTACATCCCTTTTTTGTTTGGTTTTTTTTTTTTTAAGGCAATGATTGCAGAAATTCTTTTTTTATATAACATGCAAAAAAAAAAATTTATGTACTCAAATTGCCTAATTTATCGTCTCAGATGTGTTCCGCGGTGATTGTTTTCCATTAAAACTATAACAACTGGGCTCTAAAGTTGTAAGACATTACCTGGGCTGTAAAATTCTAACACATCTCCTAGGCAGTAAACTTTTTGCCAGTAAAATGGTTTAAAAGTGTCTCTGTCACTTTTAATCTGTTGGTCATGTTTTAAGACCCACCCTTGTATGCACCGATTTACTTTTGTTCTATTTTTTTTAAACGTTTCTCCCCCAAGTTATAGATCATGGGTCCTCAAACTCCGGCCCCCCAGATGTTGCTGAACTATAACTCCCATGATTCTCTGGCTAGCTATGTAATTCAAAGAATCATCGGAGTTGTAGTTCAGCAACATCCCGGGGGCTGGAGTTTGAGGACCCATGTTATAGATAAAAAAACTCAGTCCCTACTTTTCCTTTTGTAGAACGAGCAGGTTAAAAAAAATTGACAAAGGGTGAAGCTTTAGTCAAGCGCCATAACCTTTGTCGACTCTGTCACTGACTCAGGATTACTAAACATCCCTCAAATCTTTTCAGCTTTGTGTCACAGCCAGGGGGGGGGGAGTGTGACCAGTGCTGCTGCATAAACAGAAACAAAAGTGATTTAACTCCTAAATGGTAGAGAATTTAGCAGTGAGACTTAAGAGGCATGATCTACACACCAAAACTGCTTCATTAAGCTAAAGTTGTTTTGATGCCTATAGTGTCCCTTTAAATTATGAATGCAACTGTGTGCCAGGGACATATCTGGCACACATTTCAAATATTATCTATGTGCCAGAATGCTTTTAGAACCATTTGGCATGTTATATAGGGTTTACCATACTACTTACTGTGAAGAGCTAGATTGCTCTCCTGAGTTGAGAGCTAGGTCATTGGCTGAGGGCATCACATGATGGCTCTCAGCCAATGATTTAATCCCTGCACTGTATCATGCAGAGAATTTTTAATGACATTGCCAGAGGAGTTACACCTTGGGCAGAAAAAGTAAATATCTCTGTAAGTGCAGTGTTTGAACAGGCCCTGAGCACCATAACCACTTCAATGTATTGAAAGGTCATGGAGCTTGTACTAACTCTTTGAATAAGCATAGGGATTTGGGATAGTGCATGCGAAACATTTCTTTTAATTTAATTAAGTAATGTGATGGTGCCTGAAGTGGCCAGTTAACTACCAAAAAATAGTGAGTATAATTGTGCTAAGTGATAATTAAAATAAATCTGCTAAAAATAGTATAATAAAAAAAATACATTAAATATAGAGAGTGTGAGCGAGTATAATGAAAAAGAAAAATAATCATATATATTTGCTTTGTGTTGAACATCAGGAACAATTCCCTAGTTGATTAATAAATAACTACAAGTGCTAAATTCAAAATATAGTATCATTTATTTATAGGTACTCGTGAAGAAACCACGATGATGTAAAAATCATCATAAAAATACCAAATACAAAGAAAACAACTGCTCAGAGGATAAATAGCGATTTAAAAACGCACATGCTCTAAATATCACTTGCACAAAAAAGTGCACAAAAACTGCACTTTACAGAGATTCTTTTTTTTTTATTGCACACTCAGCCAACGTAATAATTCCAATTGTGAATACAAACATGAAGTTGTGAAACTTACTAACAAATGCATATTTTATTAGTCAATAAACATTAGCTTTAAATACAATATATATATATATATATATATATATATATATATATATATATATATATATATATATATATTAATTTTTTTTAATTTAAAAAAGGTAAATAACGAACATCTAGGGTTGTTGTATTTATTTATTTTATAAGTACACGTGTATATTTGCACGCCATCAGGAAATGACTCCCTAAATTTGCTAAATAGAAAATATACACTGCTTGCTATACAGGTATGGGAAGGGGAGCTCTAGGTATATGGATCTGCTCATACACACAAATATAATTTCAAGTTCAGAAAAACAAATATGTCCATATATAGATACAGATAGACACACAAGACGCTCTATGTTTCTAAACCATTCCTATCTTCAGTCAACTTATCTCCATTCTAAGCAGTGTATGCATTGCTGTATATGCATTGACATCCCCAGCCTATGCAAAGTGCCGCCCATAGGGCTGTGGGTGTGTATAGCATGCATGCCTATATTCCTTACCTCCAGCTCCTCCTGAAGAGTGCTCTGCATGGCTGCTGTCTGGCTAGTTTGGCTCAGCTCTCCTCTGATCTGGTAGCCCCTGATAGCAGGCAGTGTGGGACTAGCCCTGGCCTGCAGTTTTAGTTATTTTTAGGAAGGATTTGTTCCGGGAGGAGGGTTGTGGGAGGAGGAGAAAGGACAGTGAGATTTCCTGTATGTATATCCTACACGACTGTCACATGATTTGGTTATAGCATAGCATGCTGCTGTCAATTTATTTCGGAAACATCACAGTGTTATAGGGAGTTAGATGTTTAGAGTAATTCTGGGTCAAACTTCTGAACGTGAAGCAGTCATCAGGAGTCATAGTGGTTTCCATAGGGACAGTTCCACTTTTAGAACTTTGACCCAGAACAGAATTATACTTTGTAGTTCTCCCACAGTTTATATATTAATAAGAACACAATAACACACACACATCTTTTTTTTTAGAAACATATCAAATTATTAAAACGTTTTGCTATGTAATGATCTTATTAATACTTTTTTTAATGTATAACATAATCATGTTTAATAATAGTATGCGTTTATAAATTGATGGCATTTCATATACTAACATGCTTTTTGTGCAATAATGAATGTGGCCCTCATTGCTCTACACACACAATCCTCATTAAGATATCATAACACTGATATTTTATATATACAGGTACTATCATATTTCTGCTGTGTAAAACGGCAGTGATCTCGCTTTTCATCTGCTGCAATAGGATTGGAAAAGTGAATATGTATATATCTAGCACATGTTATATACTAGTATTTCATAGTGTAATGTGGCAAAGGTATTTCTTTAAACCTAGTATAACGACAGCGATTGTTTATACATTTAGCGCAGGTCCACTATTTTACTCAATACTCTGATCATGATAAAGAGCAGCGTTTCCCAATTGGTGTTCCGTGGAGGTTCCGGCAAAATTTCTGGAAATAAAATTGCAGTGAGAGACCACTCTCCCCTGCTCAGCTCCCTCTCGTGCACACCAGTGATGCCGGAGCCGGAATATGACGTCCCACTGGACCACAGGGACCACACACCCAGCCGCTCAGCAGCCCCACTGGACCACAGGGACCGCACGCCCAGCCGCTCAGCAGCACCACTGGACCCCATGGACCACACACCCAGCCGCTCAGCAGCCCCACTGGACCCCAGGGACAGCATGCCCAGATGATCAGCAGCCTCACTGGACCACAGGGACTGCACGTCCAGACGCTCAACAGCACCACTAGACCCCATGGACCGCACACCCAGCCACTCAGCAGCCCCACTGCACCCCAGGGACAGCATGCCCAGATGCTCAGCAGCCCCACTGGACCACAGGGACCGCACGCCCAGCCGCTCAGCAGCCCCACTGGACCCCAGGGACAGCATGCCCAGATGCTCAGCAGCCCCACTGGACCACAGGGACCGCACGCCCAGCCGCTCAGCAGCCCCACTGGACCCCAGGGACAGCATGCCCAGACGCTCAGCAGCCCCACTGGACCACAGGGACCGCACGCCCAGCCGCTCAGCAGCCCCACTGGACCCCATGATCCGCACACCCAGCCCAGCAGCCCCACTGGACCACAGGGACATAGAGACTGTGTGTGTGTCAGTGTGTGTATCTGTATGCCACTATATGCCAGTGTGTGTGTATCTGTGTGTTAGGGGGACCTGAATAGGGGACTGTTGGGAGGCATGCTTTAGAGGTGTTAATAGTACTTAGGCCTCGATATTTATATAAATATTTTTGGATAAGCCTTTCAAATGATTTAATATTTTTGGATAAACTTAAAAAAAAAAATGATATTAAAATATCAGAAATATATTTTTTAAAAATCATTAAATCATTTGAAAAGCTTATCCAAAAATATTAAATTAGGTTCCTAGTTGGTTGATACAAATAGCAATGTTGATTCGCAAACATTGCTGCACCACAAAAATGGACCAGGACTGGGCATCTGCTTTATCGAATTATAGACACACGTATTCATCTTCTTACACAGGATACTGCCCAGCATTTACAGTTTCAGTTTCATTTCACTGATAAATAACAGTCTGTAAGTTTTGGTTTAACCAATAGGTGGCACCACTGGATCACTGTTTGAGTCACAATTCTAAGAAAGTGCAAACATTCTATCAGAATTATTTGAAAAAGTCTGAATTTTTGCAAATTAAATCCAAATGGAAAAAAAACGAGGAAAAACAGCTGTTGGAGGAAAAATTCTACAACTCTGCCATAGTCACAGGTTTAGTGAATAAACCTGTCAGGGTTTTTACAAAACTGAGAATTGTCAATAATTCAAAGTTAGTTCTAAGTTCATTTCCAATTTAAGGATGAAGAAGCTGAATTGGAGGTATTTTGGCCTTAAATTTGACGCTGTAGAAATAAAGACGCTGAAGAAATAAAGATCTAAAGGATTATTTTTGCATAGTTGGCCTATTGTTATTGTTTTTACAACTTTTGTGTTTTTTTATTTTTTTTATTATGTACTTTTTTATTTATATATGTGTGTGTGTGTGTGTGTGTGTGTGTAAGCAGTTATATAAAATAAGTGTCACGATTCGGGGAACCCAACACGCTGGCACACACACACACACACAAAAGGTGCCGTACCGGACCTTAGAGTGGCCGGGCTAAGCACACACAGAATAGTCAGGAGACAAGCCGAGTAAGGGGAACCAGAAGACAGAATAACGTGAAACAAGCCGAGGTCAAAGGGTAGGAGAAAGTCACAGAGTCAGATAAACAAGCCAGAGAGTACGTAGCCAGAAGCACAAGGTAAGTAGCAATACTAGAAAGCAAAGACCACAACAGGGCAGGGAGGAACAGGAAAGGTAAGTATATAAACCATAAGGTTAATTCTGATTGGATCATTTCCAATCAGAATTAACAATCACACGTGGGAGATATCTAGACCTCCCACTGTGATTAAGGCACTGTGCCTTTAATGCCGGGTCAGGTGACTGACCCCGGCGTGTACAAACCTGGGCGGTCTCCCAGCGTGCAGCGTCATGTATGCTGCCGCTGGGGGACGTGGAGGAAACGGCGGGCGGCATCCGAGGCTGGAAGGATGCCGCTCGCCGGACCCACGAGGAGGAGGGGACCGCGGACGGCTGGAGGGTGAGTACCGCGAGCGGAGTGCAGCCTCCCCTCGCAGCCGCCCGCGGGATCCCGACAATAAGTTAATAGTTTTGCTTAAACCACGTTTTTTTAAACAGAGAAGATAAAAACTATCAAGAAAATGACAAATATTTTGAAGCCATGTGAACTATGTAAGGATATGGAGTGCTATAATTTTTTACCAGTCCTAGTCATTACCAAATTACCTAAATGTCCATTAACTCATCTAGATAATCATGAATAGAATGTACTTCAAACAAAAGTAAGGCTTAGTAAGAATTCAGTGTTTTTAAGGGACAGTGTAACACCATGACTACTACATCTCCACGAATAGATAAGATACCAACCTGCTTTTAAAACTAAAATAAAAATAGCTGTTTGGGAGCACATGAACAAAGTTGGTGTCTCTCCAGGATACACGGACTGCCCAAAGCTTGGCCTAATTGACATTGCAGAATTTACAGTTCCATATCATTAGTGTTAATTTTGTCCAAACCACACATTGGTACAAAATAGCAAAATAGTTAGTTTTACGATAATCAATATCATACTGTACATATTATTTATTTATAAAATATTTTACCAGGAAAGATACATTGAGATTTCACTTGTTTTCAAGTATGTCCTGGGTCCACAAATCATTGCATTGTTACATTAGGGTACAATAAAATACAAAAACAATATTAATACACAATAAATACAAAATGTAACATAGAACAGGTAGGAAATATATAATCAACCATGACACGTGCATTCTGTTTTGAGGTATGTAGAGAGGGATCTCTTTAAGGACTTTAGGTTTGGGGAAGATTTTAAATTGTGCGGGAGGTCGTTCCACAATTGTGGCGCTCTGTAGAAGGAGGATCGGGCTGATCTTTTTTTGTATTGAGGTAGACTAAGTAAAGTGCTGGTACTGGATCGGAGGTTATAGGAAGTGGGAATAGCCGGGGAAAGCATTTTGTTCAGGTAGGGTGGGAGTTTCCCAGAAAAGCTCTTAAACACAAGGTTGGAAAGATGAAGGGTGCGTCTGGATTCCAGCGACAGCCAGTTTAGTTCTTTTAGCATGTCACAATGGTGTGTCCTGTAATTACATTGTAGCACAAATCGGCAGAACGAGTTATACAATGTATTCAGTTTATTAATGTGGGATTGCGGTGCAGATGCATATACTACATCCCCATAATCAATGATTGGCATCAGCATTTGCTGTACAATCTTTTCCTTTACTGTAGGGCTTAGGCAGGATTTGTTTATGTACAGGGCACCTAGTATAAATATATTATATGGCCAAAAGTATGTGGACAGTCCTAATAATGACTAAGTTCGGGTGTTTTAACCACATCTATTGCTTACAGGTGCATAAAATCCAGCACATCTGTAGCGGAGCTCCGATATCCTGACTGGCTATCTCCGCTGAAATTACCTCTTAGCTGGAAGAGGAGCCTTTTAATGTTCATAGCCCAGTCATCCGGTAATACTTTGTCAATTGCAATCTCGTCCCAGAGTCAACTATCAGAGCACTATTTGGAGGGGTGACAAAGGAGGTGGTGAGGCATCGAATGACACCAAGGGCTTGAGGGAGCTCCGTGTACCAATGGAAGGCACCATCATCATAGGTGACCAGGATTTCCTACCTAGCATTGTGGAGCTCTGTGCCGGATCAGAGGATTATCACAGACCAGTCGAAACATTGACTTCCAGCTAACCCAGGATAGACACCTCTGATCCAAACTCATTTTGGATAGAGTAGGCGCTGCAGAGAGAGACTCTTAGGGATACCACTTGCCTGGGGATATGGGCACAGGAACCCGGTTTTTATTGCAAAAATATTGGCGCAGAGGTGTCTGGCTGATAATAAATTCCCTGGATAGGCACAGATACCTAGGCTCCAGATGTTGTGCAAATCCTATTGTTTTCCTGGTGACCCCCTGTTGGGATCCCAGGTTTAAAAGAGTGGCATTTGATCCAATAAAACATTTGTTTTTTACCCTTCCCTGAATGTTGACTAGTATTTGGGTGAAACAGTGATACTTGATATATGCACTGAGCTATAT